TTATGCGTCACGTAATTGTTGAAATTATATTAAATGCGTAGCTTAAAAAAGTGACACGCGAATAAGTTTTGTGTTTCTTGTTATTCGTATCCGCTCTTACGTTGCGTAGATGCGAAGATAACGGTATGCCTTCTCCGATACTTCTTGAACATGCAGACCCTATTAATTCAAATGAAAATAACAAATTTACTCGTGGAGAACACGAATGAGTTTTGTGTTTCTTATTAGCCGCTCTTATGTTGCGTAGCTGCGAAGATAACGGCATCTTCTCTGATGCATCTCCTCTTAAACAGCTCCAATCCCATCAGTTCACATGAAAATAATAAATTTACTTGTGGACATAAAAAGCCTCTCAAAAATGTTTTCTTGCGGATTCCGCGACACACAATAGATGCCATTATCAATAATGCAGAGAGTACATGTAAGTAATCGATAAGTGACTTCGATCTCGTTTGCCTTGCCATAGAATCAACTCTGACAGAGCAGCTCCTGTATATACGATTCGACAATGTGTGCTCTTTCTCCTGGTGCCCTTTCTCGATTCCGAAAAACGCCTCGCATCGGCGCGCGGCAATTAAATAGATGTGTTATGAGAAAGCGGCGCCGACGAGAGAGAAGAGATGCATACAGAGTGTCATAGAAAGGATCGTCGAGAGAAGGCAGATTTCTTGGAATCGCGAGATTCCACGGCAGACGCAAATTCCACATCTTTTCGTGGGAAAGTCGAGTCCTAATTCTCGATTCCAGAGCCCGTTAGTTTTTTTAAAGCACATACGAGATCAAAGCGCGTTTACGGTCCGGCGTTTACAGAACAATCGTGCTCCACTAAAGCGCGCTGCGCAGTAGTTCTGGAACACCTGGTGTATACCGGATAGACCGTTCACTGGAACGCTATACATCGCGGCGGACTTCTCCCTTTTCGAGCTCGGCCTGGAGCTGCGAGTTTTTAACGGCAGCCTACACTGCTACGTTACAGATCGGATCATTGATGACCAAACATGTATACGTCACAATCGCAAAATGTGCGTTGCAAACGACATTTTTATCAAACGCGAATGCGAATCGAGGATCCCCGGTTGTCTCTGTCATCTCGTCGTCGTTATCTCATCGTCGAGATAATAGGGTATATTTTTAAGCTTCGGCACGAAACACACGCAGGTGATCGCGCTTTATTCGTGTCAGCGAAACATTCAGCAACAAATATTGCTCTCTTGGTCTCCGTGATTGCGTATTAATTTTTCCGATAATCCGACTCCGATGACTCAGTGTAACTCTTATCGCTCTTGTTTTCTTTATCCGCTTATCTATACGTTGCCTGTCAGATTTCAATTTCAATTGCACCCGCGGTGTACCGGGCGTTAGAAACAAAGTGCTTTCTGCCTAAGGCGGAATCCACTTTCTTTACCGCGAGGAGCAGCAGGAAGTTTCGAATATTCATCCGGCAGAAAATCTTACGGAGTCACGCTATCGTAAGCGGAAAATCACTATCAGCGCGCAGGATTTCTTCGGCGCGTGCTAACGAGAGTACTCGTTCTGGTTGTACCCAATCCGCGTAGATTTGTTCGAACATCTGGCTCGTTTACAGGTGAAGTAAATCCGACGCTATACTGAGGATACAAACATTCTCCATTTGATCGTATCATTCTTATCTCCGTGACTCGATGTGATTGTCGCATTAAACTCAACGCAGGATTGTTTCTCTCGATTAAAATATACAGTGTTCATTAATCTTTAATATCATTTTTTAATTAATCTTTAATTATCATTTATTTTTTTCATGGGCATCGATTTCGACCTTCCAAACTTAATTCCTATCTCGATAAAGGGATAATTCATACAATTATTCATACAATTTATTTATTTTTAATTTCATAGTTGAGTCGCACTGCGCAGATACGCAGACAGAAGTGAAGAAAGTGGAGTCCTATTAAAAAATATGTTTCTCATAAAGATGAAGATTGTAGAGTCACACACGTTGAAAAAATTATAAGAAACCTTGTTGAGCTCTATTCATACTCCAATTATTTTCATCAGCCTTATTTTAATAACTTTTTAAATAACTTCCTTAGGCTTATTTTCTCATATTTTTACTGTCTTTACAAATATAAGAAATTGTTTATTTTCATCCTTATCTTTTTGATTAGACATATAATAATGATTGATGACATGATATTACGTGCAGCTACGTTTTGCTGTTTTTTTATCATGGTAATTGAATGTACCGAGTAAATTTTCCACTATCATCCCAGATGGTCTTATTATTCTTAGCATTCATCTCTCTCTCTCTCTCTCTCTCTCTCTCTCTCTCTCTCTCTCTCTCGTTTACATAATATCTTACTGACTGAAACTAAATGCAAAAAGTTGTTTAATGCGCCGCGAGGATAGACTTCGTTGCACAAGGGCATTAAATCATCGCGAATGAAAGGATTGCTGTCAATGAAACGTGAAACTGATTAGATCTTCAAACACGTTTTAAAGCGCGACTATACAGCGATTTCGAAACGATGCACCGTCATAAATGTCAGAATAATTTGCGTGTTATCGCACGTCAGCGAGTTCCGCGGTAAAAAAAAGTTGCGCTCTCCAAAAATTTGTAGATCTTTATACACTCTGTAAACTTTCACTTTCCTTCTCGATTTTGTAATTTCAATCAGAAATAAATATACGTTGTAATAATGAGTATAATTCGAGGCGAAATGTATACTCATCTTGAAACAGGGAAGAAGAAAATACGGGAAATTGTTTTTCCTTATTCCTATCTCCGTGGCCCATCTTGATATTGTTGATATCGCGGTAAACCCATTGCTAATTGGCGCTCTCGATTAAAATATATATGGTGTTCGTCAATCTTTAAGTCGCATCGGAACTGCGGGTTGCACCGCGAAATCTGTAATTACGCTGCACGAATCCCTTTCCCATCTCGACCTTGTAAATCTCTCGGTTATCGAGGCAGCATAGGAGCGGTATTGTGCTCTTTGTCTCTTTCCGTGGAAGTGCAAATCGTGTTGAATTCGTTAAACAATTTAAACGTCCACGGGCGACACTAGGACTGACACGTTGGAATCCGTTTACGCAATTGATCAAGCGTTTAGAGAGCGAGAGAGAGACGTCTTTGCCACATAAACGGGTTCGCCGAATGTTGCGTAAGCTGCTAAAACACAATGGCACCGAGCGAAGACCGACAGAGCGCTGCGGTGTCATTTATTTGGAACATTTCTCAAATTATAAACTATTAATGTGGCCATTAAAGTTATGAGCTATATTATGTAAATTGTATATATTTCAGCTGTATGCAGTTGTAGGCGTCTACTTTCTACTTCGTTTAAATATTATGCAATATTCCGCGGAATTTTTTTGTGCCCACACAGCGAATGAGCCTTATAGTAATAATTATTGCGCGCTTTGGAAATACATATAATTTTCGTCATTTTATAACAAAAACGCGCCGACGATCGCGTAACGCGAGATTTACGATAATTGTCGCGACATTTTACATGCGAGCTTAGCCTCCTGGACAAAAGAGAAAGAGAGAAAGAGAAAGAGAAAAGAGAATGGTGTTCGATTTTAACGAACGAAAGTAACGGAAAGGTACCTAGTTTCTCCGTTGCAACGAACGGAAATAGTGCAATCGATTTACAATCCGACGGTAGCCAAGCCCATTGCAAAACAGGAGAACTGGGATATAAAACGTAGATATAAGAAACGTAAATCGACCGTGCACGACAGTGCGTTCGCGTGTTTCTCTGTGCTCTTCCTTCTCTCTTATTTATATATCCGGTGTATATCGCTCTTTAATATCTTTAATGCATCGCCCCGAGGGGATGACCGCGAACGAGCACAACTGTAATAGTATTGAACAAAAAGCCAATGTTCACTTTTCGTGGTCAGGAAATGGTCCGGCAATGTCACGCTTTATATAATTGTAACAAAAATTTAAAAATTCGCCACAAGGAAAGCGGACTGTTATTTATTTTTTTTTAATATGACTTGACTATCCTAAAAAAAAAAAATGATTACAAATACTTTGCGCGACTGAAATCGTGGAGAAACCATCAAATTACGACGGATACCCATGTTATTTCTAAATTGTGTTTTTGCAACCATCTATATTTGCACCAAAAAAAAAGAAAAAAAAACCGATGGCTAGCTCCTGCGGGATATATAATAATTGTACAATAGGTTTCGCGTAAAATTGTCATTGTTCTATTGTCAGTGTGTTCTACTGTCATTGTTCCACTGTCAGTCACGAAAGAAAGGCACGCGAGATGCTGATATTAACTGAATCACCCTGTAGAACAACGCGAGTTCTACGTCGCTTGCCGACGGGCATCTTGCAATTAGATCTAATTGTCGATACCGCTCGGCGGATGTGCAATCAGCAAGAGCCGATGGCTCTCTTCCTATAAAAAAATCGCGGCTACATGCGATCTACGTCTCGCCACCGTACGTTCGGATGACGCGCGAGTGGAAGTGCAAGGAACGAGTCTCCCATCGCCGTAGTCCCTGCACGCGGAAAGTCCTACTACTTGCTACTGTCTTATATCTATTACACATGCGTCGGACGGCGTACCGGCGGTCGAATCCATATCGCCCGAGGTTTTTAATGGGGCTTGCGAAAAAGAGGGGGGGAGGGAGGGAAAACCCGCGCCTATTGTGCCCCGCGTTGTTTGTCTAAATGCGACGTGACGTATGACGCGACATCGGTCGCGTTGCGTGTCGAGCACGAGCGTAACGAGTCGCGCGCGGCGCGGTCGAGCGCACCACTTCCGTATGGCGCAAGGCGCGAGAGAGCGCGCGCGGAAGCTCCAGAGGGCCCGTCGACGCAGATGCACGTACCATATTACGATATCCCGAAAGGGTTGTCAAATCCGTGTCGCGCGTGTCGGGGAATCGTGTCAAGGACCATCAGGCAGGCGGGCGGACGAGGCGAAATGCGGGGGAACGACGGGCGTCCGCTTGGCCCTGGACGCACCAGCGCACGCTTATTTATTTTTACTCACTGTTTACGCGCCGCCCTTCGGACCTCGGGCCGCCGCTCCGCGTTCGCCGTGGTCGATGCCGCGGTGCGCTTCCCCCTCCGGAGTAAGTCGCACACACTCCGGGTTATCTCCTTCGCATGCGGCCTGCGGAGCCGAGCCAGGCTAGGCGAGAGCCGAGATATCGTTTCGCGGGTCGCGTCGCGTCGCGTCGCGTCGCTGCGACTTCACGGCGTCGCGCGGACTCCGACGTGCGTCGTCGCCGTCGTCGTCGTTTTCTCGAGCGGGGAACGAGTGGCGTCGCGCGCGAACGCGCCGTTCGCTATCCAGCGTTGAACTGGCTCCTTTGTTTAGTAAACAGAAACAGCTGAGCGGCCCGACGGTGGAGGTGGAGGCGGCAGCGATGGTGGCGGTGGCAGCGGCGGTGGCAGCGGCGGCGGCGGCGGAGGCGGCGGGACCACGGCATTCACTCGTACCCGCACATTATTGACCGCATCGCGCGTGCGCGATGTCCGCACGACCGCGGTCACGTGGTCCCGCCACTGGAGAACGGCCGCGGCACTTCCGCCGACGATCCGCGCTCACCTCGCAAACAATCGCCTTTATAAACTGCGGCAACGAAATCCTCAGGTTTTCTCGCGCTCTCGATGAATTTTGGATTTTTTATAGATCTTGTAATGACGGATGCATTTTTATGAAGGACACGCATATTTTTTTCGTCAAGGAATTACCGGATATGTTCTTTCGGCCGCATAACGAATGTGAAAATTAAGGAAACCGAGGAATTTATTTATCGCTGACAAGAGATTTCGAAATAATTATGTTCTGTAGAAAATATATTTATAGTTTTGCAATTATAAAAATTTTAAAAGTCTTATTTCGTCAATCTTCTTTTATATTGGTACTTTAAAGAATCTACGTATTTACACTTATATTTTGGATATAAATGAAGTAATTTAATTACAATTAAGCGCTCGTTGATGCGCGCGATAATAGAAACATGGCCACCGAAATCCAGCGAAATCTTAATTTGCTAACGTCAGAACAGACCTTGAATATATATGCGCGCAACGCATATACACGTACGTACAATAATTTATATTTTTCAAATAAATGAAATGGGTGAAGAAGGAACGCTGCGTGACGTGCAAATTTCAAATCTAGGGTGCGCAGAGGGAGAGAAAAGAAGAAAAAGGCATGCTAAATTGAAGGAGAAAAATAACCGCACGGGAGTCAGGTTACAAAATACATTATGCCGCAGATGTCTGTGCGAGCAGGCTTTTATCTTGTACTTACGGAAGTGCGAAGATTAGAAGCACGTTGCGCGCGATTGCATCGTCGGACGCGGTGACGCGACGGCTGTGTTTGCTCACTGTACAATTTAAAACGTGTGGTAAAAGACCGAGAGGGTAAAAAAAAGGTTGCACTTCATACAAAAAATTTAGACGTTGCGTTCCCGTGGCAATGTTCATACATGTGTGTGATCGCCGATCGAGGGGAAAGCGGGACGATTAGCGTTGGCATGGAGATCTCCTATTAAATATTTCCGGTGTTTTAATCCTTAATCGCTACACGCACGATTATCGATGACGACGTTAGAATATTGTAATTTATATCTCTTTTATTACATTCTTTTTATCATAATTTATAACAACCACATCTTGTCCATCTATTAGTCGTCTTATTAAAAATTAGTGCACCGACTGAGGGGGGGGGGGGATACTTGAGTAACATCAAAACTCTGCGTCATCTACTTGCTCCCTAATATAAGGAAATTAAACAAACGTAGGTAACACAATTGCAATTGGAAGGCTGCAGCGCGAATGTCAGATCGAGAACGTTACAGAGAAGATACAACTTCAGAGACGCTACTTAATTTTCATCCCTTAAACAATGCTATATTATTTATCGATACATAGAATTTATCGCTGGTACCATTTGCTAACAGTGCTCTCTACATTTACTTCATTTTTAGTTTCAAAAATGGTCTGTGCGCGCATTCTCTCTCTCTCTCTCTCTCTCCCTCTTTCTTCTTTTCTCTCTCACACTTGTAAGTTATTATACATGAAGAGTTTCTTAAGATATTTCAGCTGTTCGTTTTGTTATCTTTTGTATACATCATATTGTTATAGTTGATTAGATTACAATTGAAGTGATATAGATACACGCATAAAGTAATTAGGTACATTATTTTATCATTGCACATTCATATATATAATATATATATATATTTTTTTTTATAATTTATTCAGAGATTCGAGGATCTATATTTCTCCTTTTGTTCGCAGGGAATTATTATTGTTACATACATTATACATTATTTCGGGTGCCATTTCTTCCTTTGTTTTTTTTTTAAGGGCCGATACCGTCTCGGACGATGAAACAGATCGAGAAACCGGAACGAAAAGTCTTCGTCCGCACTCTCTACGTTATACAATCCACCTGCCGTTAATCTGCGTTAATTTACCGACTCATGAGCTCGACGCGGCATGTGTGTACACGTACAATTATACACATGTTATACACCGGCATCATTATGAATATTATATAACTGCATTACGAAACTAATTAGTTTCTTTTTTTTTCTTGAGCGTCAAAATTAATATCCGCGGCAACGCACGCACGTCGCGCTCAAAACGCAAGATTTACATAGACTGTAATGTGACGCGCATCTTTTCGTCTTTAAAACAATGCTTCCCGAAACAAGTGTTAAGCTTTCCTTCGCCGTCGGCATTTTCTCGCATTTCTTCTTCGAGAACAATATCGATGCCAGAAAGTGCATGCGCATTCCTCTACCCATTTTTATGTGCTCGAATCTAATGTCAATTACGCAGTTAGCTCGAATCCAGATTCTCCAGAGTGAAAGTGCAATCGTTTAATATATATATTTTCTTATTTTTCTTCGGATCTTTCCCAATAGAAAGTCGCGCATCTTGTCTAATCGCCTTCAGTATAATTTGAAGATTCCTATTCAAGAGAAACGTATAGCTAATTTGCTCTTCTGAAATACGATCTCATTCAAGGTACTCCCATTCTTGTCCCGTGAGAAATATTGCGAAATATTTTTCTTGATTAAATCAAAAGATTCACGTAAGGAGAAGCTGTATTTTTTATGATGACATTTCTCTCTCGCTGTTGCGATCGCTCTCTAGAAAGACTTCCGGGTTACAGGCTGCGGAAACTATAACGCTATGGAGACTAACATTATATTATCAACAATATATATATATATATATATTGTTTTTATTACGTTATGAATCTTGCGTAAAAAGAGATTACTCTAAGAAGCTAGCCAATCGCGATTGCAGATCAGACGTTACGTTGTTACAATAAAAGATTTTCACGCCTGCGATAACCAAGCAAATTCGTAACTGAGCGATGGCAATATTTTAAATTAAATTATGTGCATATTTCTTAGATTAACTTCGCAATCGCATTATTTAATTGTTGCTATTTCTGCGCGATATATGTATGCCTTCCCGTTCTATTTAAAAGCATATACAAAAGTAATGCCGACAATTTTTCACAAGCTCCGGAAAGTTCTGTACTCTTAAATTAAATCGGGTAAACATTGGTTTATTATACTTTCATATTTTTGATAACTTATATACTTGTGTGTACTTGTTATTAGCCTTGACGCAATGTTCCTCCTAATTATTTCGAAGCTTCCGCGAAAGAGGGAGGACTTACCGCGATAGTCACCGTTCACGTACGAATCTAAAAAGAATATATGCTCCGCATATTTATATTAAATTGGTCAAGATACACGACGGTACGGCTGGTGTGAGTGCGATTATATACTTCTTTCGGCGGCGATTACGTATAATAATTTGCGTAACTTCGAAGGAACACGCGTGTTGTAAATCTATAAAAAGCTCTGGATTATACGATATGTAACGTAATGTTATTTATTCGATCATGTTTTGTTATACATCACTATCTGCCACGACGAAATAAAGTGGTATACATTTCGTTTCAGCGCTCCGCTCTCGTGTCGATTAAACCCTGATGTCGATCAACCCTTAAATGATATCATCCGCCAATGTATACGCCAGTGTATGTATACGTTCACAAGCAACAAGCGTAATTACAACATTAATATTGAATCAATAACGCGTGTAAATATATATATATATATATTTATTTATTTCAATATTTCTGTCTTACTATATCTTAACAATAGGCTAAGAATCTATGCTTTGAGCACATTTAGAACCTTACAGAATTCTTGGTGGGAATCCTTGTAACAACGCGCTTCAAACAAAGGGCAATTATTTAAAAGCGATTTGACCAAAACTAGACATTTCGATTATCTACAAACTCGCTCAGCATTTTAAATATATATAGAGAGCGCTGTGTATAATCTTTTTCGCGATGGTAATATACGAGGAGCTCTTTACCTGAAGCTGAAAATGCAAGTGGAGTCAAGTCTAGTTTCGAGAAAATTTAAATCGCGAGGAGCTTGCTTTTCACAATCCAAACAGACAATGTACATTGGAAGAATTTTCTGCGACCATCGTTACTTAGCCGTATACACTTAGCCTTCACTTTCCTTCATTACAGTAACTGTAAATTTACTTTACTCGGAACTGATATATAGTGTGACTTGTGATTTTCAGTGCTTCGTATCGCTCTCGGTTTGTTATAGCAAAATACATATAGTCGTACGATAAAAACGCGCAATTAAGCTTGCACAATTAAGCTCTCTTCGACGATCTCATTTAAGGGCGATCGCGTGCATATTGAGAAGAAGCAGTTCTCAAAGAAACACACGTTATTCTCTCATCTACACGTCACACACGTCTCCCGTCACTATATACTTCCGCCTTTATTTTTCCTAAATATTAATACATGTCGGTTTCACAAAAAGCGCGACTAAACTTTATCTTTACAGACTTTTTTTCACCTGTACAGAACATTTCTCGATACGATATAGGGACAACGGTTATATTATATTATTCTACGGCTTATCATTTCCTTTACAATTTATCCCTTACGCCAAGTCGGATCAACAGGGTTTAAAATTATATGTATATGTATGTATGTATATATGTATAATATATATATAATATATATAATAATACATATACATATATATATATATTGCCTACGATTTCTACTTAATTTATACGGAGATAAATAATGCTTTTCTTCTCAAGGGATTGAGTGAATAGATAAATAATTCTTTTTTTTTTCTCAAGGGACCAATATACACACGACACATCTATATATATTGCGATGGAGACCGTGATAATTATCTCCTGCCTATTTTCAATTATTCGCTGCATACACGCTAACATCGAAGCTATACTTTTTACAGAAATAGGGAGTACCATCACATTTCACGAATCACGTGAGTTATATATATCGTATCGTTACGGTGAGCTTTCAAGGCTTATTATAACGCATCGCGCGTGATTGTATTAAAATATTGTAAATGAAATTAACAAGTTTTGCGTTATACAATGAGTCGTTTACAAAGTGTAATACTTTTTTTAGAGACGATTTTTCATAACATTCTCATAATTGCGCGTTTGCCTCTCTCATAATTTTCTTTCTTCTCGAAGCAGAAAAGTTATTAGAGAAGCAAACACCGGCAAAATCGTAACAAACATGTGACAAGTATTAACCCTCTTTTTCATTAAATGTTCAAAATCCAATTCGCATCGCGTACATAATCTCTTCTCTTCGCATTCTCTCTCTCTCTCTCTCTCTCTCTCTCTTTCTCTCAGAGTCATAAACACGCCAGAGCCATACACTTACTCTCGCTTAACTACTTATCCCTTCCTAAAATCTATACATGCAACGTTTAATTGTATTTATGCTTTTTGTTTCATTATTTATTTTTTCTCTTTTGCTTAGATACACAAACGCCGTTCTGGATCACACGACGGTAGGATTACGCATATTTTGAGATCACGAGCTGGAAACGTCACGTCTTGGCGCAAGCTTCCGCGAGGAAGAACTCGCCCAAAATCCCGTTTTAGAGATACCGAACTCAAATAAATCTCGACACTGTAGCGCGAAAAGCTTTGCGCTGTTTCAAAGTGCGAAGACCCGATTTAGATTTGTGAGCATCTTGCGCGCATCCACTTGAAACTTTCGGCACCATGACGACTCGCTGCACGAACATTTATATCCGCGAAGAAGTATCTGTTAAATGAAGAGTTAATTTCAGGATGCTAATTATAAAGTTATATCAATTTATCAAGTTACAAACGTAAGTCACTGGAATTTGACTCCATGGCACAAGAATTGCGATGCAAAATAAAATAAAAACGTTCGATAAAAATATGTTGTTATTGATTTGTACACTCATGTTTTCATATTATATTATAGACAATTCTTTTCATTTGTTCAAAATGACAACGGTCCGGTCGAATCAGTTTCCAAACAGAAAGTGCGATTCTACGAGACATTCATAAAGGACTAATTTACGTCGTCATAGATCAGAGTAGCAATTAACAATTTAACTACGCTTAATCGACTTGATTGGTTTTTGTTAATACTAGATACTGAACTTACGCTTAAAATCTATGTCCTTAATCTAGACCTTACCAGCTAACGCATGATCGACGGCGAAACTCCGTCCGTGTCATACGATTGTCTTAATAGCTAGGGACTAGAATGAACTCTTCTGACCTTTTTCGCAGGTTGAGAATGCATCAACGAAAGATTCAAAACACAACTGAAACTTACGTATCTAATCGTTTAAATATCTTATTCTAAATTACACTATATGAGATTACATGTCGGACTATATAATTGATGGAGATCTCTCTCTGTGTATACGATCGAAATCTCGCATAATTAATATGCCACTAATACAGTCTTAATTCTAATATTTGGTGATGCTGCTTTTCTGCCACAAGTCGATAGTCGTCAACGTACCGACCAAAAAGGACGAAAATAAAACGATAACGAAGAACGGAAACTTATATGTCTAGGACTTTACAACGCTCTATCAGCTACAAGCACTTACAGATTATTCGCGATCACTATTAACGCTTAACGAGTATTGTTAAGGACTTATTGTTAGACGTACTCTCGCAAGTCTCCATCCGCACTTTTTACCGCATTCACACTGAATTAATGTCACACGCGCAATAGACACCACGCACCGTTTCTAGAATTGTCGATACCTCATTGTAGTCCTCACGGACTCTAATCGCGGACTCTAATCGTGATAATTGATTTAGCTTAGCACCTACTAGCGACTAGATAACGGTATGCATAGATCATCTATAAGCTCAAACAATGGGATATGCTCGCGTCTATAAAAAGTAGCGATATCTAACAGATCATTGCTCTCTGATCGCAACGACGACGACGATTTAACGATATATCTTTCTCTTTGGATGGTTTTTCAATAACACGTAAAAATTCAATGCTAGATTACGAACGTTTTTTTTTTAAATTTAATTAAAAATGTTATAATATTTAGGTGATTTCAGTTCTATGTATAATATGCAACATATATTTACTATGTGTAAAAGTTGCCATATCTCTGCAGTGATATAAATGAGAAGAACTTGGACACTAAATAATTCAATTTCTGCGTAAATTTTTGGACAGACAATTGCGCCGTCTGTTTAAAAAATGCCACAGCACGCGAATGTTCTTATTAATAATTTCAATTCATTACGATCGCCTAGGGAGATAAATCTTTAAAACGCCATGAACGCACTTCACGAACACAAAGCTTTCCGTCGCGAGTGCTCTACGACTTAATAAGCTAAACGAAACGGAAAAGCGGTATTGTCCTTCCATATTTCAAATTATTTTCCCTTTAATTATTTACTTGTCAGTTAGCCGCTAGATTGCGTGCGAATGGCGGACGAGATGTTTCGTAAATTGTTCGCTTGTAAGATTATTTGGCGGACAATCATAGCGATTGGCTCGAGAATCGAAAAGAAGAGTGATAATATTGAGTTCTAAGTAGATACGAGTGATTTCGATGACAAAAAGTCGCGACAATTATTTGTTTCTTGTTCTGGAGATGTCAGGTAAATTATTTTTTTAGTCTGCATAGCTATGACTGATCATAGCGATAATTGGGCTGAGGAGAGAAAAGTGATATAACACTTAATCCCGATCTACAATCTCAAGTAGATGCGAGAATCCCGGTATGATAAAAAGCCGAGATTAATTTGTACATTCGCAGTTCTCGTTCTGGAAGCGTCAGGCAAGTTACTGACTATTGGCTCTGACTGTCTTGATCGCTTAGCGATCGATGCGTTTGAGGGTCAAGTTGTATTGTCTTGTAAATCGACTAATTTTAATCTTTACTGATCATCCGGTTCCGTTTCCTTTAATCATAATAACCATCGGTTTTTGGCTAATCTTGAACCGGTGAGCGACCGCGCGAAGTGTACTTTCGCGAATAGGACGATCACCGTTTATTATAACTACCAGCGAACTTACGAAACATCTCGCGGTCGATTCGCGCGAATTTTTCTCTCTGTATACAGACTAGTAACACGTACACGATATAGTACCTATGTTCACCGCTTAAACAACTAGTATGACCATATGTAGCTTGATCGACTTACGGTCGACTTACGTAACGCGTTCCCTTTATAGCTCTCTTGCTCTCCCACCCCCTTGATAACGTACTAATTATTACAACGCGGAGACGATCGATCGACCGGTTGACTTGGAGACCGATTGCCCGCGTTTACTCCGAGGAGTCGGAATCGGATTCGGCCGGCGCTTCAGGCGTCTCTTGAACTTCCGGCGTGCTCTCGGGAATCTTCTTCGCCATCGTCGCCGTGACGTACGCACCCGGCCCTTCGCCCTGCGTATGCTCAATCCCCACTCTAAACAACGTTCGATAATACAGCAACGCTCAGTGACAGATAATACTAATTTGAGAGTAGAAATAAGAAAACACTAAACGAAACTAAATGGCCTGTCTTAAGCATAAAGCGATGTATATTAATTTTAATCAAGTAATTAATGATATAATGGTATACGGCGAAAGTTCGAGGCATTCTTGCTCTATATAATTCTACATATATTTCTAATTGTATGTAATAATCTTTTAGGACTCACCTGTATTCGTGACGCGACAAGTTTCGGACGTACTTTTCTGGAGGCGCGTCGCTGTCGCTGTTCTGGAGGCTGACGCTCCTCGCGGTCGTGTGGGATACCTGCGTCGCCGGCATCGTGAACTCCACGTAACAGTATTCCGAGAGATTTTCGGGGATCTGATCGTAGGAGGTGAGAGCCATACGGCAGACTAGCTGATGCGTCGTATACGCGCCTGGAAATAACCGCAAACAAACCGAAATTGGACGAGAGCCAGCAGCAATCATTTGGACGATGATTTGAACACGCGGTATATTTAAACCATTTCGCGTGTGAAGTTTCTATCTTTGTGGAATAGAACTCTTCTTACATATTCTTACATTTAGTAAATACATTGTTGAAATATACCAAATTCTATTTCTTCGGCTCACAAAGTGGAATAAAATAATACAGAAACTTTTTAACATTAATTACAAGACAAATATAAGAGTTGGCAATTAGTTTAACTTTAACTGAATAAAACGATAGGCAAGTACCTTGCCCCTCTTTCGGCAGCCTGGGCATCCTCCATACGATGGCGCGATGTTGATGCTCGTATTTCGCTTGGCCGGAAGTTACTTCCATCAGCTGCGGTTCTAACGTGTCGACGGCGCCCAGAAATCTCTCGATACCCTTGATCTTTCCCGTTCTTCGGTGCGCCGATTTCACCGAGCCGTACCTGAAGTGCTTCTCCACCCTGAAGAGGTAGATCCAACACTCGGGTATAGGGAAGCGAATCATCACGTCTTCGCATGGTATTTGGCCCAGTTTTCTGGATGCAAAACCAGGCACGAGAATGTCTGCTCTCAACTCCACCTAATAACGCGTAAAAAAAAGTCAAATTACGTATCTCTAATAAAAACGTGTCGTTAAGTCTGCTGCGCGTTGCAAGAATGACAAGAAATTTTAAACATTTTACATAAAGCCCAATATTTTTATAATAGAACGGAAAGTGACAATACTACCTAATGTAACAGATAGAAGAAAGATACGATGATAGCTAAAATCAACAAGAAGTCGTCGCTTTTATTTAAATGCTGAACGGAAAGCTTGCCGAAGATGTGAAGGGGGAAACTTACCTTGTTCCCAGTAACGCACATAACAGCTTTTAGCTGAAGCGGTAGTTCCCTATTTTTAGGCGGTCTTACGCGAAACCGCATCAGTTCAATGTAACATGCATCAGGAGGCTTGAACCTTAGGAGATATATGTTAGTAGAATATTAGTTATAAAATAAATTTATAGAGTTTTATATGGTTAAAACGTGCACATTTGTTAGTTAAAAGATAAGCGAGATTGTATTAGTTTCTTAAGGTAAAGATATGTTTCATTCATCATGAAGAAATTTAAGCCTTTCACGATTAATTAACATGCGTATTTGTAATAATTGCGAATAAGGGATTGTTAAAATTATTAGCGTTAATCCAAGAAAAATCTCATTTTTATCGACTGCTTTATTATCGTGAAGTATAACGAGGTATTAAATACGTACTTTATTATTCGCGACTTTTCGTACTCGTCCTGTTGAACGCACGAATGAAACTCAACGTTCTCCAGACGAATCCATTCCTCCGTTACGACGGGGATGATATCGTGCCTACCAACGACCTCTTTACCCTGCCGCCACATATCATTTATTCCTAATTCTATGTCGGGCATACCTGAACAATAAATTTAGTTTTATGAGAAAACATATATCGTATAAGAACGCAATTTTTCTATATTTTTCTATCTTAAATATTATATATTAATTTTTCTATCTTCTATTATATTTTGAAATATAGCGCAATATAATCGCAATCACTGAGATATCTACCAGAAAGGAAACCCAGGAAGAAAAGACGAACACGCGCGATCTGCTTATCCACGTGACCCTCCGCATTCTGCTCGACATATACCTCATCCACGACTGTTACCTGGACCTCCTCCATTTTATAAGTTAGAGCCCGATCGCGATGCGCCGATAACCTGAAGAGAGCTTCCTCGATAGCGCAGGAAAATTGTTTCATGTCCTCGAAACATTGGGAACCAAGTTTGAATAACTGAGAGATCTGCAATCGACAATAAAACGTTTAATGGAAAGTAAATATGAACCGTGGTTGAATATATATATACGAATAGTATATTAAGCTTATTATTATTATACAGTTTATTCTTATATTATTGTATGGTTGTATCTCTAGAAACTAATCTTTTCTCGAGTATTACGTGACGCACATATGCATTAATTGCACTGCTTAATTAGAGAAACTAAAAGAGAATTAAAATAATTTACCTGAGGTGCGTGTTCAACAGGAAGACCCAATTTTTTCAAATCACTCCCAAACTCTTTGACGCCTTGATAGTCCCCTTGAATAGCGTACGCCGCGAACTGGCTGAGTTTGTTCGTGAGCCTTTCCGCCTTCGTGACCTGACCGGGTCGCACGCCAGGTCTCTCCTTATAGAAGATGTATTGCAGCTTCACCGTAAAGATCTTCCCGTACTGATCGAATTGCTGGGCGCCGATGTCCGACACCGAGTAACAAGCGAGCAGGGGTAATTCTTGAAACGGATCCTTAACGTCGTCTTTATTATTGAACAGCTGAAGGATCGGATTGTCACTCTGGTAAATCAACTTGACGAAGATCTTCTTCCAGAAACGTTGCCCCGTGATCTTCTTCTTGTTCGGCTGTCGCAATTGCATTTCCCAACCGTCACCCGTGTAAGTTATCCGCGGGAAAACTTCGAGCGGTTGGCTGACGTCCTCGTCGAACAAAGGAGTAGGTGGGGTTTCCTAAAAAAGAAAAAAAATATTTCATATATATTTTTCTTTTTTTAGGAAACCCCACCTTAAACTTATATATATGTAAGACTTAATCAATATATTTGTCGCATCTTAAGTGCAACAAACATATATATATTATTGCACAGTTCTTTTATATTAATGCTCTTGTTTAAAAACAATTCTTTAAAAAACGGAAAAAGCTGTACGTGAAAATATTCGAAAATAATGTGATACACGATGTGATACAGTTTGGCATACCTGAGAATCTGTTCTAGCCATTTCGGCTGTCTGTGCAGTTTCGGATACCACAGCATCCTGGGCGATTCCGGATTTATCGAAGGGATTAAAACGCGGCGAGGAATCCGCATACGCGGCGACCTGCGGACTTTTCGGCGGCGGCGCTAACGTAGGTACAGGTCCGCCTTCGATTGATGTTATCTGCTCTCCTTCTTTCGGTCTAAAAGATAAATGAAACTGTTATTAAATATGCAATAATATGTTAAAAATAATATTAATATTTTTTTATTTAACTGTGCAGCGCGCAATTTAGGCAATATCTCCTATAAAAATCTATAATATCCTATAATTTTTCGACGATCCCGTTGAATATTTAACGACCAGCATTACAAGTAAATCATTCTCAAATTTTTTTATTTGTTTAATAAAAGTTAGTAACTTTTTTCTTTGACTCACTTGATAAATACACTGAAATCGGGACCCTCGTCCGACTCTGCAGATTCAGATCTTTTCACTTTCGTGTCCGGTGGTGGAGCCGTCATACTCAAGAAAGAATCAAAACCGTCGGATTCTCCAAAACCGGTGATCGCCGTTTCCGAGCCAGCTACCGACGAGTCTCCCCAAACTGAAGGAATAACCGTTATTGCAATAGATACTAATATATATATGCGGTCAAATACAAACATGAAATTGCCTCGTATACCTACCATCGCTGGAAGTATCCATAGCGGTTGGCCCTCCACCAAAGGCATCCAGGAAGGGATCACCGCCGTTGGTTTCCGGTTCGGCGGCTCTATCAAATTTCGACGCGAAAGCGTCGAATGAGTCGCCGGTATCCTGGATCGCTTTCGTCGTAGCGGCGAAGTTGTCCAAATGTTCCTCAGGCCGGTAAGCCTCGTTCCCGGGAAACTCTGTTCCAGGGATCGGACTAGTGGAGATCAGGCCGCTGCTGACCTCCTTGGTCGGTTCTCCGAAATCACCCAGTAAGTCCGAGGCGAAGGCGGGCTGCGTGATCTCCGACGGGGCAAACAAGGGCTGAGCCGCAGTTGCGAAGGGTGCGGGCGTGGTTTCGACTATGCCGAAGGGCGTTGTCGTGGTTGTGTCGGCCATGGAGAAAAAATTCGCATCGGCAGCGGTGGAAATCTCTGCTTCTATAAAAAAAAATATAGTGTTATGTAAAATACAATGACATTAAAACGATGCAACATTACTCTGGATTATTTATATATATATTTTTTTAATTTATTCTGTTCCCATAAAAAAAGAGAAATTTTCTGACCTTGGAAGAGTTCAGCGGCCGCCATTGACACAGGTTGAACCGCAGGAGCAGGTTCCGCGAGATCCAAAACAGTTCCGGCTTGTCCGACGTCTGGTTCTATGACAGCGAAAGGAGTCGCGGAGGTCATCGAAGGCCGTTTCTCGCTACTGATAATATCCTCCGGATATTCCATTCCAAAGGCAGGCTGCGCCTGCGGGACCACTGCCTCTTCGCTCATGCTCGCGAAGGGATTGTCCTTGGTGGTGGTCATCGAGACTCCAGTGACGAGACTGGTGGTACCCGTGGTGGTCATGGAAGTAGAGAAGATATTGGTCGAGGTGACTTCAGTGTTGGGTACATCAAAGAGATCCATGATATCTTGATTTTTCGGCGACTCAACGATCTTATCGTCCGGAATCAGATCCGGCACGGTGCTGTCGACGTCCAGAAGATCGGCGAAGCTGTGCTCCGGGGTGGGTGACGGGGAGTGAATTAGCGTGGGGCTGGGCGTTCTGGTCGCTTGCAAGCGATCCAGAAGGTGGTTTGATGTAGCGTCCATTGCTCCCGTAACCGACAGTATCAGATCCTTCGTGTTTTTGGCAGGTGGTTGCACCGGTGGATGCGGTATCGGCGGTGGTTGCGGCCTCGGTGGTGGTGGCCTCGACGGCGGCGGCTTTCCGTTCCTCGACGGAGGCGTTGCCGCCAATGGTTGCACCGGCGGCGGCGGTTGCGGGGGACTAACGACCGTCGCCGGTTGTTTCTCGGCCGCTATCGTCGTCGTTGTCGTCATCGTACCAAACAGATCCACGCTCGCGTTATCGGACGTGACGAAGATATTGGTTGGTTGGCTAGTGAAGACGTTGGTTGCTGGCATATTAGTGTCAATGGTCGCTCCGAATCCGGCGTCCGGAGCGGTACTTTCAATGCCGAAGGAGGCGAACGGATTGGTAGACTCGACGGACATTGGTGGCGGTTCGTACGTTTGGTCGCTGCTGAAATTCAGGAAGGGGTTCTCACCCGCGCCTGCCGCGTCGGCGAAATCTTGGAGGAAGGGATTGGAGACCTGCGGAGGCAAGCCACCCCCCGGCTCCGTTCCGTAATCGTCCATCAAGAAAGGATTTCCACCCTTGGAATCCATGGTTGAATTGACTTAAAAACTCCGGTTAAAAATTAATTAAGTATAACAATTGCTGAAACTTGAGCGAAATCTTTTGAACTGCACTTCCATCAAAACAGAATAGACTAAATTTTAATCTGCTCGTCTCTGTTCTGCGTGTTAGACAGATATTCCTTGGTAAAATGTTAATTTATCAATCAATCCTAGCATTTTTGGAAATCTTCCATTTAATGTAGAGATTATTGATGTGTGCAACAAGTAGAGCATGAGGATTTAAACGGTCCCTTGAGTAGCTTCAAAAGAGATAGTCAACGTTCACATTTATTTTGAACAGCTTAACAACCAGATAGTCAAAAGATTACTCTAAAGATTCAGAAAAAATTGAGCTGTACAACGATTGATTACTTCATCAATTCGGATTCAAGCAGCTTCAATTCGGTTCGCCCAGGCTCGATAGTCGCGAAGCTGGTATCGAATGGATCCACGTCGTCGTCCAAAGTAAGATCTTTATTTTGAAGCGGTGTCAATACTTTGTCGCCGGGATCCTGCCCGTCCAAAGACAGAAAGTCTTTGGACTCCCTTACCTCGTCCGCTCTGGGATCGAAGTCGTCGATTTCCGGGACTATTGACGATGCGATAGACACCACAGTGGGCAAAACGATGGGACGCGGTGGTGGTTGTTGAGGAATTTGTTGCAACTCACTTTCTAATATCTTCAACTCCGCTTTACCGGGCAAGATGTTCGTCGCGATAGACGTGTCGAAGGGATCCGCGTAGGAGATCTCCTCTTCCACGATAGGTTTGCTCTCGATCCTAGGTGTCAGAGGTTTCGCGTCGACCTCGACTTCCGCATCCAGTAAGCTCTCCTGCCTGTGGGGTTCCTGCTTCACGATCACTTCCTCTTCAACCTTTTGTATCAGCGTCGATTGTAACTGCGCGAGCTTCAGATTGCTCGGCGCGACCGAGGTAGCTGTGAAATCGCTTTGCCGCCTAATCGGTTCTGCGGCGGACCTCGGATCGAAGTCGTGATCGCTCAAGCTGTGAGGTAATTTGGGCTCCTGCCTCAACAATTCCGACTCGATGAGCTTGAGCTCGGTCTTGCCGGGCGCGACGTTATTGACGAAACTGGTGTCAAACGGATCGACATCTACCTCGTCGTCCTCTATCGGCAACGACTCTTCTATAGCCTTCTGGGAGTAATACGGTGTCAGCGGTTTAGAGGGTAGTGTCTTCTCCTCTTCGCTAGTCGCGAGAAGGTCGGGTCTCTTCGACGGCGTCGGCAGTTCGAACGCGACGGCCTTGGTCGGAGCTAATTCAAGGACTTCCGGCCGGGAAGCCTTCCTATCGAGATTCGTCGGTGCCGCCTCGACTCTCTCGTCCTCCTCGAAGTTAACTTCGAACACAGGTTTAACCGGCGCGGATTTAACAGGCGCGGATGGTCTAGGTGGCGGCGGTTTTGCAGGCCTTACTGGCTCCTCATCTTTCCTCGGATCAAAATCGATGTCGTCTTCGACGCAACTGTTAGACTGCTCACCGAGCAGTTCTTTTTCTAAGACCTTGAGCTCTGTTTTGCCGGGTGGAAGCTCTTTCACCGCGGACGTATCGAAGGGATCGACGTAAGTAATTTCCTCGACGGGCGCGATTGGTTCGTCCGCCAATTGGCTGAGATCAGTGGTTGAGCCGCCTAGCAGATCCCTCTTAGACAGCAAACTGTCATGATCATCTTTCTGTGCACCGTCTAATTTCAGCAGACCAGTTTCGTAATCTCGGTTAAAGCCAGCGGGATCGGTGAGGGATATGGACACTTCCGAGACGGGCAATTCTTCAAGTTCCTTCTCGATGAATTTTAATTCTGTTTTACCTGGTAATATATTAGCCGCGAATGTAGTGTCAAACGGGTCGGCCTCGTCGACAAAGGTAGCCGCTTCGAAGCTGGCCTCGATTATCTCCGTCTGAAAATCGGTTGTTTCAGGCTCTTTTGTTGCGAACGGATCTTCGGCCTCCTCGAGACAAGTCGACTCATTTGGCACGGCGTTCAGATCAAATTCAGCGTCATCTAAATCGGGAATCTCTTCTAAGACCGTTTTTTCCTTCAAAACTTCGAATTCGGAGATATCTAACGGACCATTCGATGCTTTTTCAGTGATCGAAGCTACGCTCTCTTGAATAGGAGTAACGGGGCTGACTGGCCTTGGTAGCACAGGCGGTAATTTCGTCAAATCGACGGGAATGTCAGGAAGGTCGCTGTCGTCATCTAGCAAAGTCTTTTCTACTTCTGTCGGCTCCCCTACAACGGTTTCCGCCGACGGCTGTTGTTCCGCCTCGTCAAAGTCGTCTAACAATAGATCTTGCTGAAGTCGGGGTCTCCTACCCTTGGTGATCTTGCAGGTGCTTACATAATCGATTCTCCCCGATAACACCTCAACGGCATTGCCTAAACTGACTAGCTTGTTGCCCTTTTTGTCGACTGTACGGAGAACCTTGTCGGCGCTGGTGGTGTCGAAGGGATCGTCGCCGGCCTGCTCCTCGGTCGGGCTGTCCGGTATGTAAGCTAATTGAACGTCGATGTTCTGGAGAACGTCGATGTAAGTGGTGTCGAAGATGTCCTCTTCGGCGGAGTCCTCCTGCTCATCCTCGTCCTCCGGTACGTTTACGAAACCGTCCTCGTTGACCAACGGTTTCTCTTCCCTCGTTTCTTGGCCGTCGATTTCCGACGGCGCGGCCTCGATTGGATTACCCTCTTTGTCGAAGCCCACCCACCTCTTCGACGATTTGGTATCCTCCTTTGTCGCTTCCTCCGGCTTCTTCTCTTCCAACGGCGCCTTTCGCTGGAAGAACGAGGTGGACTTTATCCGATCGAGATCATCCTGAGTCTTCCTCAAAACCGAATCGACGCCGGCGGTCAGTGCCTGGAACTTCTTCCACTCGTCGGATCCGGTACCTTTAGCCGATTCACCGGCCTCCTCGGCTTTCTGTTGGGCCTCCGCCCGCTCGCGCCGATAACGCTCGAGCTCCTCCGGATCGAACTCCTCCTCCTCCGCCCCCTTCTTGCCCTTCTTCGGCTTTTTCTTCTTCTTCAGGCCCTTGGCTAACTTGTGCATCCTCTAAGACCTACTGCGGTGCGTGAGAGGCTCCTGCAAAGAGAAATTTAAATTATTACAAAAATATGAAATCTACTGTAATCTGTGAAAAAACATATTTCTCCGGTGATAGACGTGAGTAAAATATTTATAAAAAAATCATTTTTATTATTTTTACAATTATACTCTGCAATTTTGTGAATAGATACACGATGCAAAATATATTCTATATATTAATTTCAGAATAAATAATTAAGATTTCCTATAGTTGCGCTACGTTTCTACATAACTGAGACTTTACGAAAACATCTTTTCTAAAAATCATGAAGTCATTGGCTGGAAATATATGTATTGGTATAGAAAATATAGCGATGCGGGATCATTGCCAAAAGAGGCCGATCGATCGCAGTGCAGTAACCGAATGTGTTTTTCCGCTCGTACCGTTTCTCCGTTCGATAAGCAAAAATAGTAACCGAAATAAAAGCGAAATATTTCTTGGAGCGCTTCTCGGAGATGTGCTCTACGGACGACATCCAACTTTCTCACAAATAACCTGCCAAACCCGTCAAAGTCGTCGAAGACAGTTAAAGCTTTATATAGAAAGCCGATAGATTAGATTCGCCGGGAGAAACGTAACGTTACACTTTCGGAATTCCAACGAGATATTTCCGTCGTATTTCAGCGGCCATAGCGGCGGATTTGATATAAACAATACAATGCATATATTCCACACGCACATGAGAATATCTGGAATACGTACGTTATTACAGACTACTCACTATGCGAGTGTCAAAGTAGCAGTTTACGGATGTTTTTTTTTCCTAATCGCCTTGCGTCTTATGCTATTATCTTATGTTAAGCTAGACATCGAGAATGCATCGTGATAGATTGCCGTGTATACGCTGCGACGCCTCTAATAAGCTCACGATCGTATACACACGTGCGTATTTGCATTTTAATCGAATACACACAAAACTCTTGCGAGAGTGCCGATATAGAATTCAATTAATATACCGGCGTGCTGTGCGGCGGCGGATTATCAATAAGACGATAAGCATAGTATAGTATTTTCTATTTTCGACGTTCTCTGAGCGGCGAGCCTCGAGGAAAAATCGTGAGCTGAAGTGCGTCTCTTGATTGCAAGAGGTACGCATACTAAAGGGGATAGAGGATAAAGCGGGAACTCCTCTCGATCGTAAACTCTCAAATGTGACACTTTTGTCTCTTGCACGTGACCTACGACGTGCTATGCACTATTCCCTCTCCCTCCCTCTCTCTTTCTCTCTTTCTCTGTGGCGAGTAAGAGCACCCTTTTATACGCACAAATCCCTCGACGTAGTTAGGCTTTCGTCACGGCTCGCCGAGCAACTCTGGCTATGAACTGGCCCTGGCCTGCACTGTAGTGATGCACATGTATGTATGTACGTGTTTATGCAGTGTGAAGAATTCGCGTATATGTGTGTCACAAAATTATAATCGATACACGAAAGAAGAAGTGAGCGAGCCGCTGATCCCGGCAACGGGAAAAGATTCCTTCTGTACATCGTATCGTGCAGCAAATACTTTCGGCAAATATATAGAATATTACAAAGTGCACCCGCGCCCGCTATTAATACTAATTATTACGCTATAGTCTAAACTTTCGAGTAAAAGTATAACGAGCAGTCAGAATATTAAAACTGAATGCGAATCGATTTGACGCCTATTCTTGTAAGAAAGAAAGAAAGAAAATGGTTATCAGGAAACATGGGATTGCCGTCTGCACACAATGCATGTGCGATATTGTCGCATTATATATGCGCATGTAACGTAGCGCACAATAATCTAAGAATAAAATAAATGCAAATACCCGATGACGGAAGGCCGAGTGTGAAGAGTTTCTTAAACCTCAGACGGAGCGCTTAGGTCAAACCGATTCCTGTTAGACGTTCTAGATCAAAGCAATTGACTATGTATAGTAATCGATTATGTCAGCGCCTCTTTCGTTGATTCTTCACAGCCAAATGGAGATAAATTATGCATATCACAAATGTATGGTACACTTAGACTGTCATCTTTTCGTCAATTAAGAATTCGAATAATCTATCTGCTTTTATCTTCGTCTGTCAAATGGTATTTCTCTAATACCGTTCGAATGAATCGATATTATCGACAAAAAGATATACAAGACGTGACAAGATACTTCGGAAATAGGGAACAGTACATAACATCTTCAACAATAGAGGTATTATTAGGATTTAGTATAATTGGAACGGAATTAATGTTAATTCATTAGTAGAAGAAACTTAATTAATCAACTGATATTTCTAATTAATATATTTATATGTATATTACGTCAGCTATCGTTAATCAATCATATATATTACTTGTCTTGTATTTATCTATTAAATTAAATATTAACATAAATTACGTTTACTTAGAACTTTTATACGTGTATATCACTTCAAAATATACGTACATATGTGTATCTTTAATGATTAACATAATGTGTTTTAAAAGTAACATAATAAATCATAAGTTATAAGCGCATATATGACGGTTTAAAATTATATCAGATTTTCCGAAGAATAATTTGCAAACTTTTTGTTTGCAAATAGTATTTCGTGAAGCGAGATCGTGGGTGGAAAGAACAAATAAAAAACGGCACGTCTGCAGCTTTATATAGAAACTTTCAACTACGCGTATACCGAAGTGCGCGGAGACCTGCTCAAAAATTGGTCACGATGATAGCACGTTTGCAAAAATTTCTCTTTTAATTTAAAACATATGTTTTACTGAACGCGATTAAACACCGGTATTTTATTTAATTCAATTATTTTATCACATTTTCAATACGTATTGAATGCAGAACAGTCAGCGACTGTATATTGTGTCATATTTCAGATTATTTGCGTATGAAATGAAATATAAAGAAATATTTATGGAAATTATTTAAACGTTATTTAGGGAAAAATTTAAACAAAAGTAAGATAGGAAAAAAGCAGTCTGGTGCATCGTCGAACAATATACATTGAGCTTGGGCTTACTTTATTATTTAATTAGGTCAAGCCGTCAACGAAAAGATTCAAATTCAATAACCAATTGCATCTGTCATATAGCCATTGTAAGTAAAGGTAGCGTGTATTAACTGAAACGATATCCCTCGAGGGCTCTACCCAGCAGCTGCATGCACCTGTCACTTACACATTCTACCAGAAGTCTGTCACGAAGTTCCTGAATATGAGAAACTTGGTATATTATCCCGACGCTATATTACATTTCGTTTTTCGATTGTATATACGTACAATACGTTTCGGCAGTTATAATGTATGTATATACTATATAGTATTAAAATAATAACCACAACGACATGAACATGTCTATTTCATACGCCTATGAAAATTTACCCTAATAATTTAATTTATTATATCACATATAACACAAATATATATAGTCACATATTAAAAATGTATACAGTCACACGTACAATAAATATATACAGTCACTCCATCCTTTCTGTGACTTTTTTCGGACAGTTCAAAGTAAATTATTATTGGTGCAGGATATCGAAGGCACTTGCAATTTGCGATGCAGCACATGCCGAGAAACATTTTTACGAAGGAAAAGTGTCGAATATTCGACTAGATATTCGAATAGATAATACGCAACACGCGGCGATAAAAATCAATACTCTATAAACGCCAGCGTTAGAGAGAGGCTGCTAAACGTGTCCTTCCTGCGGTGCAGTCGATCACCGGGGCAAGATGGGAAACGCGAACTGCCAAAGACCACCTTCCCTGCACCGTGTGATCGATCAGGTCTCCTAAGTCTCATTGCAGTTCACCGTGTAATGGTCTTGCCACCAGTAGTCGTCGCCGCGTCAGCCACATTCATCGAGACGAGGGACAACGAGCGCTTCGGGAAACACGCGAGTGCGGCTTCGTCGTATCTAATTTTATCAGCACCGCGGAGGAGTTCGAAGAGAGAGAGAGAGAGAGAGAGAGAGAGAGAGAGAGAGCTGTGTGTGCCGATAATACGTACTTCGCATGCGGATTTTAGGGAGTCCCCGAGACAAACGCTTCGAGTTTCCGTATTAGAGGAAACGGCGAATCACCCTGCGCGGCGCCTGAGACATTTCGGGTTCCTCAAGGATCGCTCCGAAGGCAGGGATTCGTATAAGCATTCCCAGCAAACATAAATTATAAATACTGTAGCATTATTGTAATATTTCTGTAATAAAGCTGGAATATTATAATATTACTGCAACATTGCAGTTATAATCTGTGTTTGCTGGGTTCGTATAAGACTTTTCAACAACTCAGATCGTTTAAATGCGAAAGAGATATGCTCGATAGAAACTAGAGCCAGAAAGTAAAATATATTTATAAAATTTAAATTCCATTAAAATTTATAATCCCGACCTTTTTCAGTATCCCAATAAAATGAAGACTAATCACTGGGATAGAAGCATGTATATATATGTATCGTTAAGCGATTATCTTAATTATAAATCAAATCTAAAAGTCGATTATACGGTCTTTGAGGCCAGCAACTACCGACAGGAGTCAAAGGGAGACTAAAGGGAGTACTAAAGGGAGAGTAGATACGTGAAATCAGGCGTAAATGCTAAATGCGTAAGTGCGGTTTATGATTAACGGCGCTTCTCGTGCGGCATGCGCAGAATATCAATTAGAAATATAACACTGTATCCCATTTCTTTTCTATTTTTTCAGAACTAGAACGTCTATTTAGGTACTGCGTGAGCTGCGGCATGGGAAGTGCGCGAGCCATCGACTTGCGGCGATATTAATTAAACGTGCAACTAGTAATCATGGATACCACGACGGAATTCGCGGCGACTGCGTGCAAGATTACGTGAATTCCGTTTGGAAATTAACGCGTACACGTTTCGTCCTGATCGCGAATACATGGACGGAGGGCTACTTTCGGCATTTGGTGCAAAGCGATCCGCGTAATAACGATTACATATCGCGGATATGCCGTAAGTAACGAAGTACGAGATCAATGAACAGAGAACGAGACGCGGTCGCCTGTTGCGAACGCGGCGAATTTCGCGAATATCAAGGAGAATAAAATGATGTGACCTTTAATGCGCCCCGCGCGATTAAGATTACAGAGGGATGCCGGAGCGGCGATCAATCCGGGCGAATATATACGAGAGCGCCCGCCGTCCACCGGGGGTGGCAACCCTCGTCCGCCTTTCGGCGGCGGCGGCGGCGGCGGCTCCGCTAAACCGGGGGAGAAAGTCGTGCAATACTCACGATTTCAGCCTCATCAGCCACGTTGATACGGCACACATTTTTTTCGCGTCATCCCGCACAACTTGGGTCCCGGGTCGCGGCTCGAGGTAGCTCGGTACTCGCAGCCGGCGTACTCGTTTCGAGAGAGAAAAGTGACTACGATGACGACGACGACGACGGCGGCGGCAGCGACGTCGGTGGCGGCGACGGCGGCAGCGACGGCGGCCGCGCCGAAAGATTGAACAGACAGGAAGTCGGAGGCAATGAGTTACGCGAACGAGTTATTTGCTTATTCGCTGAGAACGAGCGGCGGCTGCGGCAGCGGCGGCGGCGGCAGCGGCGGCGAGCGTCGAGAGAGACGCGAAGGCCGTGCCGAAAGCGAAGGCGACTCACCTCGTACTCTTCTGCGGGCCGAGCTATTTTCAGCATCGATCCGTTTCCCATCGGAGAAGAAACATGCGCGCGGCCACACCACCCACCGCCCCCGGCGACGGCAGCGACGGCGGCGGCCCGAGGAATCGACGGCGCGGTCTCCTGCCGAGGCGGCGGTGGAACCGCGGAGCCGACAACGTCCAAAGGGCGAGGGATGACAATTGGAGGTTTCGCGATACCTACGAATTAGGATCCGATACCCGCAATGATATCGGGGAGCGAAGAGGAGTGGGAATTAGAGGAAGGGGTAGGAATCACCTCTGAACTATTCCATTTAAAGGAATTAAATCGCAAAGATGAAACTCTAATTTCATGCGGATTTAGGGTCCATATCGATTAGCGTATAATTAGCCCTCTACCGTTCTAGCTCTTCTAGCTGGAAGTGGCCTAATAATAAATGCGGCATATAGGAGCTCGTTAAATAGATCGGAAATATATACCATAGCTCCTGTACGATAACAGCTAGGATACATCGATAACAGAAAATCACCCTGCGCCCGCGGTAATCGCGACGTCGACCACCGGCGCGGCGCCGCCAACTGCAGATGCTATTCGCGCCTGTGCTCGCAACCCTTATTGACAAAACAACGTCTTATATTAAAGCGTTGCGAAAATTTTCTTTTTCAAGCAAAATTATGAATAATAACTTTGATATATTAGCTTCTTTTTTTAAAAAAAAAGAAGAACCAATTGTATTTAATCGGAAAAAAATTGAGCTAAATTAAAGACGGGAAGGTCAGGCTTGTGGTGCGAAAGTATTACGAGAGAATACCTTGTCATCGATGGTAAAATGTCTTTTTTTTTACGAACAGAAGAGATTAACATGAATAGAGATAGTAATGTTTTAACAATGGAAACAATATATTATCTTCTACAATCAAGTACTCTCTTTCGGGACATATATTCGAGGTTTGGTAAATCTTGTGGCTCTCGCAATACACGTGGGCATGTATATACGATGTATATACATTTGTATATATTTCTTCTTCATACATATATTTCTCCTTCTTTGAAATTGTACGTTTATTTTACACGTGGAATCAATATAATTAATAATATGAATAATAATAATAATAATAACAATAATTATAAGAATAATAATGTACATACTTTCACCGTTGTTGTTTACATAATCATGACGGTAATCAGAATCATGCGTATAATGATCATAATTATGACGTAATTAGTACGGGTTTGCCAAGTGAGAAACTGCCGTTCGAAAAATTTGATTCGCTTAATTTGATACAAATATGCGTATCCGGGATTGATTCAAGACACGATAGCGGATTTCCATTTGTTACGCAAGGGAATTATACGTTAACAAAATTGTTTACTGCCACGATATTCACTCGACAAAACAGCACATGCAATAACGATGATAATAATAATTCGAGTAATAATAATTAGAAAAAAAGAATAATGATGAATTCGAATAACTATCCTTCTTCTCCTTGTCCTCCTCTCCCTTTCTCTCTCTCTCTCTCTCTCTCTCTCTCTCTCTCTCTTTCTGTCTCTCTTTCTTTCTTTCTCTTTCATCTCTATACACAAGTGCACAATTATTTACATAATCAATATATAATGACAAATTCTAAGGTGCCTCTTGAGCGCATTTTAAAACATGGATTCGTCTGGAAATAATCCAGAATTATTTGGCACATCTCAGTATCTTGCGTCCTTTCACATGCGGTCTGATACTTGGCACGAAATTGAACCGTCATGCATTGATTGGCTCTTAGAAGATCGATTTTTTTTTTAAATAGCTAAAAATGGAGATAACGATTTTTTTTTCACCGAAGACACATCTCTCTACGTCGCGCGTCCACTTTTACAACTGTTTTTTTTTTTCACATTGAATTTAGTGTATCTATCTTTTTTTTTTCTCTCTGGATCGACTAACATTACACGGTTGATCTAATCACGACACAGTAGCCCACAATTTCTCTATACGAACGACACATCTTTGCCGAGTTTACCGGAGCTCTTAAAGTTCATCGAGGAAAAGAAAAAAGATACAGAAAAGTTACCTTCCGATAATACACAATTATTGCTAACGCAAGAATACCTGTAAGATACACACCGTGCGCACTTGCATTTACCGAGTAATTTCCAACGAAAAACCACAATGGTCGCTCTCTCTTTCTCTCTCTCTACTACACATTTTTTTCTTTTCTATTTCGCATCGATCCCTATTTTTCGTTAGCGATACAATGACACAGATAAACACCTTTTACCCTATTCGATCGCGTTGCGTAATAATCGCTCCCTGTAAAAAAACACTCAGGAGAAACAATCGTTTTTATGCGAAATTTTCAAAAGCTTGTATACCGAACCACAGTCGAGCCTAAGTCTATTGCGTTTAACGAATCTACGGGTTCGAAACACGAGTTTCTGCTCTCTAAACAAACACGAAATTGTCTAGGGCGAACGGTAAAACGTTAGCGAGTTTCGCCTTCTTCGACATCGCGGACATTTTCCTCTTGCGTTCGAAGAAACGCACACACTGTGCATCGTTATGCTTGTGGGATCGTCGTTTTGGAATTTCCTCTTTTTATTTTCTTCCATTATAATATAGCAGCTTCCGCTTGGTTAGAATAGCAGGGACCGCCTTAAAAAAATTTCCAACCGAAATTTCACGTGAAAAGAACGTGCGACTCTCTATGATCGTGTGCGAAGGTACGATATACACACATGTCGCGTGACTGATGCATGACTGATTCGCGATAAACGTAAAGAGAATTTAATTGCATTACGCATTAACCTCGTAATGCAATCGCGTTAATACATCCGCACGTGCTATACGCTGAATGACGGGGATGGGGGTGGGGTGGGGAGGGGTGTCTTTTTAAAAAATCTGGATCAAAGCCTCCGGTACTTCACTTATCAAAATTTATCAAAACGTATGTGCGTTGGATCATAGAAAATTACACGGTGTCTTCACGAGTCTCCCCGCGTTAGAAATTTTTCACTTTTTTTCAGGAGACATCAGGTCAGGTACATTTCCTCACGTAGAACGGGCTAATAATGTAAGAAAGAGCAAAACGCTCGGCAGATGTGCTTTGGCGCACCGAGAAGATGATACTTCTTGTATATATCTCGCGCATCTAATATAATAATGTTAACCGCTTTGTCAGTCAAGAGAATGTAACCGTAAATATCTCGGAAACTTCGACGTTACGAACGTATTTTCAGTCGAGATTAACCACGGGACACCAAAAGTATAAGGCTAAACTGCAGCAACTCTGTTTGAAATTCAAGCGTAACTTAAATTTAAATTTTTTTTCCGGCCGATTATCGTCCGCGTATTTGATTATACATTCACTCAAATTCGAAACATCGTTGATGCAACCGAGCCTCGGAGAACGGTCGCCTCGTCACGGTATATAAATCACCACGTATTCTTCCTTTCTATATCAAACGCAAGAAAATCTACGTCGAGGAGTAAGTCCGTCGTAGAGGTTTGGGAGAATTTCTTTTTTTTTCTCTCTTTTGCAGAATATTCATTCCTCTTCCATCTCTCTCCTTCCTTCTCTCTCCCCTTGAAGAATTGCTTCCGACGATTCTCCGTCATATTCATGGCACCAAAGTACGACAACACACGCGGAAGACTCTGTCAGGCGAGTAAGTACTTGCAAATACAGTTAACCGGGGAAGATTTAAGATTTGCGTAAGAAACATAAAACTATGTAACAGGCACCTGTATAGAAGAACCAGTTCCTCCGAATTTCTCGTCAGACTTGCCTCGAAGTCTTACTTGGAAAATTGCGTGAAAGCACTTGTCTTGCAAACAGATACCGCAATACTGGCCTCCGATCGCCGTCCTCGCACCCCGTCGAAACACGCGTATGGAAAACGCTCGTCTTAAAGCGCGCGGCGTGATTAAGACCGCGCTTAAGTTACTGAACCCAAGACGCAGGCACCCACTGAGGTTCCCTCTCGAGTGAATTGATCTCCGTGAGAAGCTGGTTATACGCCCGATCCGTGTCGTTGTTAAGGATAAGCATGTCGAACAGATGGCCATACTTGTCCTCCATCTCACGGGCCTTCTCGATTATATCCTTCAGCTCCTCCTCCTTGAAGCTCTCGTTGTTTTTGATCCTCTTCTGCCTCAGCTTCTCGAGGCTCGGTGGCGCGATAAACACAACATACGGCTTCAGATCCGAATTTCGCAGGATCTTAAGACTCTGGGGATGCAGATTTAAGACACAGATTTTCCCGGAATTAACCACTGTCCTGATGGCCTCCACGGACGTGCCGTAGTACGCTTTCTCGTACTCGCCGTGCTCGACGAACTTCCGACAGAGAATATCGGACTCGAACTGAGCGCGGGAGATGAAGTGGTAGTCCTGTCCATCGACCTCGGAGTCCTTCTTCGGACGACTTGTGTCTGGAAAATCGAAGAGCCACGGATGCGTTGGTTTAGGTAGGTGTTATTTCTTCGTATTGAAAATTATATGTAAAATGGTAAATATACGCGTTAGAGATTAACGAAAAATGACGCTTACGGGGAATCGCTGCGGCAAAACGTTCGCTGTCTTGCATCAATCTCTGCCTGAGTTCGTGTCGTCCGATGTTGGGTGGTCCGATGAGTACAATTGGCCTCTTGTGATTTGCACGAGGATAGTATAAGGCGACCTCCTCGTACGTCAGCACTTCCTCGCTGTCGTAATCTGCGAGGGAAAAAAAACCGTTGCGTCTAAGAATAGTCTTTAACAATATATATGTAATTGGCGTTACGTCAGAGGCTTCTTAAGGCTTTACATACCGTCTATGGCAGTTGTCGCGTAAAGTGGATACCCATCGTCATTGAAGCTCGAGCCGAACTTGTTACGTTTCTTCTTCTTTGGATTTTTTCTCGCGCACAATAGCGTGCTGGACTTTTTCGAGCCTCGTACCGTCGACTTGTCGCCGGCTATCGTCTGCTTCATGGACTCTCGCCTGCGCAGATAAAACGGAAACGTATATGCACTCGATGCCACCGTATGATCGGGGAATGACGGGATGGTCAGGGTATATTGGCGCTCGTATTCCTCGATTATAGTATATAGTTAACTCACTGATGTTGAAACGCTCTGCTGGGTATCAGGCCAGCCAGTGTCTGGTCCTCTTCGCCCTCTCGATATGCTTGCCACCAGTTAGGATCCTCTTGGGAAATTACGTGGAGCACATCGCCCTTTTGAAAGCTCACGCCCAACTCTCTGCACGGTATGTACGGGTCTTCCTCGGGATCGTAATCGAAATGCGCTCGTATGTGTATCTAGATGCAAAACGGTAAAAGCTCTATGGTTACAAATGTCATATATGCTATACCTGGCCGTGTTATTATCCATGCAATAAAGCCGGAACAGCTGTTTCCTATTAGCGTCGATCTATAGATAATTCGCGTACGTGTGCAACTCGCGAGTATCAATGTCGCGCGTCGTTAAGGTAAAAGAAGAACAAATGTCATACGTTTACCCGTATATGTGCATGACATTCGCTTTTGTATGTACGCGTTCACGTGCGTTAGTTCAATCAATGCAGGCGCACCGAACAAACTTTAATTAACCGGGCGGCAAAAAGAGTGGCTTAAATGACATCGATTTTCCCGAACTATTATACGAATATCGAAATCATAAAAAGATATTCGAATATGTGAAACGACCAATGTCATCTTGGAAATTGAAGGACAAATGTTGCTCCCCATCTGACATTTGCCCTTTCACCTCCAACGCCACCGCCGCAGTATTGGTTGTTCCAGTTTCAAGATCCACGGACACGATAGTCCACATTTCTAATACTGGAGGATGTGCTAAATATATCAGGATACGTGCTGTATATATGCCGGTACCTGTGTCGTGTCTTCTCTCCTTAAATTATTTCGGTGGCTCGTCGGAGCCGGAAGTACCAAGAACGTGAGGCTACCCTGCATGCCAGCGAGAATATCGCAGACCTCGTTGACGGTCTTGCCACGCATCTCCACTCCGTTCACCTCGAGCACCTCGTCGCCCTCGTGCAGGAGTCCCGACTTGTCCGCCGCACCACCGCGAACGACACGTCCTTGTACGCGATTAGACAGAATTAATTTTTAGCGTTACGCTTCGCGAAATTGAACGAGTCAAAAGTCACGCGATAAATATATGGAATAAACCCGTGTATTTTTAGCTGCAGAGACGGGGAAATTAAATGACGGATATTTCACGTGAAATGCATGATTACCTATGATCACCGCATCCCCTTCGTTTCGGACGGTGGCACCGAGAGGTTCGTTAGTTTTCTCAATTCGGATGATTTTGATGTTGTCGACCACATGGGAATCTTTCCAACTGGACGTCGGGCTGGGCGGGCCGCTGGGTGGCGACGACGACGGGCTCTGCTTCCTTTGTAAGCCCTCCACGTATGAGACGATGGAGTCGTGCGCCAGAAGCAGAGCTTCCATGTCGTAACTTGTTAGAATACTCGTTAACTCTTCCACGGCAGCTATTGTTTCTGCTCCGCCGACACCTGTTGCGGTCGACGACGATTGCCATTTTTCAAGGATATCCACGCACTGGAACATCGCGCCAGAGTGTTAAAATTGTGATACGCATTAGAGCAAACAAATAATAGCATCATATTTAATACCCACGAACATTCCTCACGAGATATTTTGAACGAATAATTAAAAATATGTGACACGGTTTTCGAGCTATATCGTTCTGTGCTCGTTGAAATTCATTCGCGTGACGAGATATTTGTGATTTAATTAAACATTGGATAAAAATGACAAAAAAATCAGCACCGTTGCTAAAATATTTGCGGAAAAAATTGATAAGCTTTCCCATTATTCTAATTAAATTACACAATGTCATATACAATCTAGCTTCACGACTGAGAGAAATCCTTTTAATTAACAAACAAAAATTTATTAAATGACTTTAAATAACACACGTGATATTATAAATCCTCTCTTTTTTTTTTATTACGTTATAAAATATGAACTTTACGTACATCTCGCGCCAAACTCGATGCGTCGTCGGCGTGATGCTTGAAAATCTTGCTCGCCCTTAGCCGACTTTTTAAAGTGTGACGAGTCGCCAGGGCGGACGCAAATCGATTCTGCACCAAGAGTGTCCGGACCGCCTCGAGCTCGGCTTCAACACCTGGACCCGAAATACCGAGAGCACCTGAAATATTCCGCAGTTGGAGCTGCAGCCTCTCCAGCGTAGCAACGACCTCGCCGTACGCTGAAATATGAAAGGTATACTTGTTAGAAACTTCCTTGCGGAATCCCGTGCCGCAGCACCCGCTGTTTATTTACGCTACGTAGCAAGCAGCCTGTGCTAAGGGGAGGGCGAGGAACTATATTTAGTAGCATCCAATTTTCAGCAACTTTCAGAATTCTTTAAATACCGCTCTCGCGTTTGTAAGTTCGTGAAATTAAACACAAGTCATTTAACGTAATAGCCTCGACCCAGCAGATACGAAATTCCCTTAAAACAAGGGAACGAAACATAAAATTGAAAAAGTTTAAATGTCAATGTAAAAGTAAAGTAAAAATCGCGTCATATATTAAATATTTTTAATCGAATTTATTATTACTTTTTTCTTTTTTTTTTAATTCTTTATTTAGAGAGATTTGCAAAACTGTATGTGGAAAAGAAAAATTGCTTACTGAGAGGCCTGGGGGGCTCTTCCACTTCTTGGACTGCATTAGGAGTGGCATGCGTGACTCGACTGACGCCGGTGGTCACCTCGTCCTGTGCGTAAGCAAGATTTTCTTGACCGCTGAGGCTCGTCGCGTGGCTCTCCAAAGCTTGGAGCTTTTTAGAGCCACGGAGAGAACGGCTGAGCATTTCCTGCCTCTCCTCCTCATCCTTTCGCTTTCGTAACTGCTCCTGTAAGTGCGACATAACCGGTAAGCTATACATTTTTCTTTACAAGTTATAAAAATGTTCATGGAGAAATTCAAATCTCGCGGCAGAAAGGAGCTCTTCGCGTGTAGAGTTCCCTGGAGACCGTTTAAGGTATTCCATCCGCGACAGTTATTTAAATATATAACACGTTTTCACAAAATATTTTACATATTCTTCAGAAGATTAAATATAGCTTTACTTAAATGTATTTTAGATGGAATCGTGAACGCAAATAATATGATTCTTTAAAAAATACAAAAAGACCTTCAGAGAAGTTTTTTTGCCGGACTAAATTTATCGCGTTTTTTTTTTGGCGATTTATGCAATATTTATTTAGTCTATATACATCATAAGAAATAGCATTTAGAAATTTCGAAAACATAATAATACTGTATTTCAATCCAAAACTGGTTATATTGTCTTAAAGAAGTCTTACCTTGTTGAGAATTATTACAACAATTATAATGCTGATTATGCAAGAGACTGTGAAATAATTGCTGTACATGCAACTGTATGTAAAGGTGTGTCGCAAATACATACGGTTCGCTGCGAAATTTATAGGCCACTCAATGCGATTGCCACTCGCGCAAAATAAGTTCTTGAATGATATCAAACTCAAGGACCAATTAAACCTCTTTGCGAATGTATACCTGTTCAATTATTTCGAGGTAGCTTATATTCAGGAACATGGAGTTTTTAGCATCCAGTGTTAACTAAATCTGGCAATACACATCAATGTACAGTTGTGGACAGATTGGTTGCGACACTTTTTTTTTATAGGTTTCAAAACGCACTAATATATATTTTGCAAATGCGATTGGTGTTATACTGTCTCTAGACTAAAGATAGTGCATCGTGGTTCGCATTTGCAAAATCATTAGTTACCTATAAAATACATATTATGTACATTAAATATATATTAGAAACCTATAAAAAAAAAGTCCACGACTGAACATATAGATTCTATAATAGGTATCTAGATACCTATATTCAAAAGTATTTGAAACAAAATCTGTTTGGTGAGAAAATTTCTGACTTCACATAAATCTCGTGACTCAATAATTTTATGTATGAAACTGAGTGTATATTGTTTTTTAAGATTTATATAACAAATATATTAATTATTAATGAGATAAAATAAAACAGAATCTTACGCTGTAATTAATTCAAAGCAACCTTTTTATTACAGTAAAATATTCATTGACCAGGAGATTTTTTAAATTACAAGAAAAAACGATTTTCAAGTCTTCAAGAATTGGTTGCTGAATAAAAGTTAAAAATTCTATATTTTTTTAGCACAAATTTATTTTTGATATATGCGCGACGCTACATTTAGCAGAGTCTGATTTATAAATGTTTATCTCCTTAATGAATCAATAACATCTACTTGCGATCAAGTTACACGGAATTTGTCAGGCTATCGGCCGTGTTATTCCATGATTCGTGATCTACGCCCACCGTGTGCCAGCTGATAAAGCCGTCGTTAGTCAGCCGTTGCGTTTTAGCCGTCGTGAAATTGCGATGCGTATGGCAATCGCGCGATAAAGAATGTTTATCTGCAATGCCGCGGCAGACGGCGGCAAAATATACGACTCTTAATTTTCATTTATATAACGAGTATCACGTCTTACCGCGCGATGCTACGTACAGAGGATAGAAATATCTCAGTGAAGCCCTGTTTACCGCGATAGTGGACGTAAGGTTTCCTGTGGAACCCGAGCTTACCCTTCTACACGCTTAGACAACACCAACGGCTAACATGGAGCATGTTAGAAGTGTCACGTGTATGTGTGTGTCGACGTAAAAAAAAAAAAAAAAAAAAAAAATGATTATGACAATAAAACGCATCCCGGGGAAAACCAGTGTTTTCAGCCGCTTATATAAGCCTGGACGATTTCCGAGCAACGCGGCATACCTACAATCTGTTCCCAACACGTGATTTTATCTTGATAACAATTAATTTATAAAACGTCGTAAAATAATAAAAGAAAACTGCTTTATATGACGGATATTCGCGATTGTCAAGAATTCTTAAAATGGCAGCGTATACAATAATCGGAGTATCAACATGTAAATCGAAAAGAAATGTAAAAGAGATCGGATATATTCGGTCGATACGTCGCAACTAATGAGTTTCATAAAAGCAGGAAAGTAAAGAAAGATGTGTTGAATTTGGGACACCTACCGCGGCGTATCTCGAGATATTAGAGCAGCGAGCCGAATTGAAAGTCTGGAAATGGATTCCCCAGCTCGGCTTGAGGCAGATCAAGGAACCGAGGTCAGGAAAGCGGGGGACCCGTCAAAAAGAAAAAAAAAAGATGGAAGAGCAGAGAGCTGAATGCAGCAGGCCCCTGCGAGAGAGTCACCCTACGTCTACACCTATCGAAAACTTCGTAACGCTACACTTCGGGCATGTAATCTTAGACTATTGCGGGAGTTCTTTACATTCCAGACCGCACTTGACTTAAGGCAGGTAAGAGGCCGTGGTGTGAGGATTCCATAAGATAAACACACTCGCGCGCGGCGCGGCGCGGCGCGGCGCGGCGCGGCGCGGCCCCGGCGACGCCAGTCACGTAAGGGGTTCTGGCATTTCTCACACTTACAGATACCGAGATTGTATGAATTTCAAGCGCGCGCGCCGCACTCGATCCACGAGCATATCCAGATACTCCATCCACAATTTTCCATCCGACGGAGGGGATTCCTCTCTCGATTTTTAACGGCTCGATAAAACGAGGTTCAACAGGAGCGAAAAATTATTCGAGCGGGACGTCGAAATGTGGGATAGCTTCACCGCCGCGTACTTTAATTTCAAAAAGGAGACCCTTCTATCCTCTACATCTTTCGTCGAATTGCATCTTTTATTAATGGACAAACCGGCGTTTCACAAAGTGGCGCGTGTGCGCGTTTCATAAACGCGCATTGAGAGTTAAACGGAATCAAAAATTTTCCACTCGTTGATCGACATTTGTTTAATAATTTTCGAGCGCTCGTTAACGCGCGTTTCCCCCTCCCCCTCGTTTAAATGTGCTTGATAATTAATTTCCGCCCGTGCAAGGTCGCGCGAATCATTTGTCAATCGAACCTGCGGATACCTCTGGGAATTCGGAAACTGCGTGCGCGGCGCGGCCACGTCGCGCGACGAATGGCACTTCGATAATATAACCATTGTCATCGGCTGGCAATTTCCTGCGCAACGTGCAGGTCACGTGAGCAGGCGAATTAATGTTGTACGTCCTCTTAAATAACGATCTGTCATTTACCGTGCCTTCGCGTCGTTACGCAATCGCTTTACTCACGCGGTTGCGCGCGCGCGCGCCTGTCCCGCGGTCGAAAGCTCTCCCCGAGTAAAACGTCCCTGCTTTCCCCGAAACGCGCCCCATTAACAACTTAATCCGAATCACAAAGGGCAAAATCGTAAATTCCGACGAGGGCAAGAAGCGCGGTTTTATCGTTCCGACGAGACACACGGCGGAAGCCTCGTGCCAGTTTACGAGCCAGACGCGGCGATATTGCGGCGGTCAACCCTTCTTCAGTATGCAAATATCGTGTCTCGCGCAAAGCTTCCTTTTTACGAGAATGTTTATTACATCGAGGCACAAAACTGACCGCGTTCTCGTGGCAATCACCACGGCTGGGCGCGTGATTTGTGTACGGCAAAATCGATTAGGTACATCGAATTTGTTCCTCCTGGCGCTGATGAGTCATGGCTTCAATATTAATAATAACAAACAAGCGCCTCGTGGCGCTTAGGCCAGGCAATTTGCGTATTGTGAATCGAATCTTGGTCTTTCAACCGAACGTGACTTCGTGTTTAACAATGACAACCTCGAATGTGTGTCAGGTATACATCTAGCTAGTTGTTTCCTCTTTTTTTTTTTCCTTACGATTACTTACATTCCGTCACGTCCTCCGAAATTCAACGCGGGGATCGGTGGATGTCCGCGCTTCTGTGAATGCTTATCGTGCGTGCTTACGTGACTCAACACACACAACGCGGGAGTGCGAGAGAGAGAGAGAGAGAGAGAGAGAGAGGGAAAGACAGAGTGCCGATACGTCATCGTTCTCTTACCTGATATTTCCTGATAGAGTGAAGCTGCTGCTGCGTCGGCTCGGCATTGGCGTTATCGCTCGTCTCGACATTATTGTTCTGCGTGGAGAGGCGCAGATTATCTTTCGGCGGTCTGGCAGGTGCCCTCTTCTGGTCGCGCGGCGGGATGGCAGGCTTGACCCCGTTGAGACCGGCCTAAAAATCCATTCCGAAAACAACTCGTATTAATGGTCCCCAACGTGCGTGACGCCGCGCAAACTACTTTACCAAATTTTCCCAAAATTTTCTCTTTTCACTTCGCATTCCTCTCTCTTTCAACGTTACTTCCAGACAAACTATTCGTATAATACTTCAGTCGAAGGTGCTTCGTAGAGCCGCGGTTTTGCACGCGGAAGGACGAGAGGGAAGACAAAAAGAGGAAGTTGACGCGCGACAGATAAGCGAAAGAAAGAAAAGAATGGGGAAAGATAGAGCGAGATGCATTAAAAGAAAGCATATCAAAAGCAAGACTATAAAACAGAAGTAAAAATGCCAACGCTTGAATGACTCGGTGATTCATCGATAATCGTATCTCGAAGATGATAACGCATTTCTATTTATTTTTAGTAGCTTGTGTATTTTGTAGTTGACTTTATATCAATTTTTTTTTTTTAATTAGAGACGACAAGAATGCTACCTAGAATCGCGGACTATTCACTTCCTTCTCGCTCGGTATTTTAAAATATGTTAATTGAGAAATATGTAATTTACGATTACGACCATGTTCCCGAATGTCATTAAATCGACGGGCATTTTACTTCGCAAGTTTTATTGCGTAGCCACTTTACCATGCTGTTGACGATCTCACGTTAGATATCCCACATTCCTCTACGCATGCTCCTCATTTTGCGTCTCTAATTGAACGGCGGTCTTTGCACATTTTATCTTTGCAATAATAGCGCGTAATAGGTCTCCGAGAGAAAAAGAACATTACACAAATTAAAGATATTACATAAATTTGTGTCTTAAAGGATATTGTACAAATATTTGAGTCTTTATCCAACCATCTAATGAAATCTAATTTAATCAAATAAGAGATAACGCGACTCGATGTAGAAGCGGTCGATCGATTCGTAGTCGACAGGTCCCAAGTCTAATCCAGAGTGCCTCGGCTTATAAAAGAGAGTTTGATTAATACTGCGCTTCCCGGATAGCAGCGGGTCAGGAAGTATTGAAAAATCGCGAGCGCGACTGTAACAGTTTCCACGATCGCAACACCGCCGTGCAGAAGGCAGGGAGAAATTACCGGCTCGACAGTCTCTCTCCGAGAGTATCTCTTTCATAGACAGCACACGATCCTCAGCATCGAGGAATACGACGAGAATTTGATGATGAATTTAATCAAGTAATTCAAGAGGCAATCAACCGCGAAGTTACTTTGCAAGGCATGCAGCAAATTTCCCAAAGTGCAAGGACGCCGTTCGAATTATTCGACGGGACGAAAGTTTCTAAACTCGTGGCGAAGTCCATTGTGGTTTACCTGCTGTTCGAGAGCGTCGACGTGCGACTTGAGCGAACGGTTCCTCGCAGGGTGCATCGGTGGTTTTGGTAAGCTCTGCTTCGCAAGTTCGTCGGAAAGTCCGTCATGTAAAATTATCGGGTTGTCAAATCTGTCCCACGCGACGGGCGTGGGTCGTGAAGACGTGATTTTCGTCGGTATCGAAACAAAGTCAGAGAGCGAAAGGGATCTCCTTGCGGCCGCCACGTGATTCGCCGAGTGCCGGTCGGCCGTTAAATTTGGAAGGTCGGACATGCTTCTCCAACTAACGTGAAATTTCACGCCATTGTCGGGCAGCGCAGACGGGACGTCCAACAATTTGGAACATTCGTACTCGAAAGAGAGCCTTGAATTCGTCTGATTTTGCGCACTCGGCGAATCGTCGGGATGGTGAGCGCCGTCACGTCGCTTCTTTTCTCGCGATTGACAATTATTAGAATGACTCGTGTCGTCGAATAAACCACGCACAATGCGCTGCTCCGAGGCGGAGAGCTCGTGCAGGGAATTCCGAGAATTCTGATTCGTCTCTTGGATGAAGGACGATTGGGCGTGAATGTCGTTCGGGACTTTGACCGAGACGTCTTCCTCGGGCAACGAGCCGATCTCGCTCGGACGATCGGAGAAGATAATCTCCTCGGTTTCCTTCTCGAAACCGAAGAGTTGTTCTTGAGAAGAGCTCACGACTTTGTCTTTGAAAGGGGGGAGGACGTTCAAGCGTATAGAACCGCCAGTCGCGTGTGCGCGCGCTTTTAGGAAAAGGGAAGAGGTCACTTTATTATTAGCAGTTTCCTCGAGAAAGGGATTTTGCCAATTTTTAAGGAGCTCCTCTTTAGGAGGAGCGGAGGATGACTGATGTCCTCCGCTCTCCGGAAATTTTCGATCTAAGAAAACGTTCTCGAAACAGGGATTCTCGATGCCTTGATTGTGCAAGAGCTTGCCGTCTTGTTCGTTCAACGATCTTCGCATTCGCGTAAACTTGTTGGAATTGCCAGGGTTCATGATGAACGATCGTAAAACAGGATCGCTAGGGTGAGGCTGCGTCAGTGCGTTAAGGCGTTGCGTGCTGTAAGCGCCAAGCGAAGCGCCATGCTCGTGGTGCAGGATAGATTGTAAGCTGTCGCATATCAAGCTCTTGACTCTGGACCTTACCTTCTTCAAGCTGTGCTTATGGTCTACCGAGCGCGCGACCACGGTCTCTTTAGCGCTATCATCGGCACTAGACAGCGTTGTGAAGCTATTATCGTTCGGGGAGAGGCGAGGGGAGGCTACGAGCGTGGTGGTCGTCGTAGTCGTCATGGTCACCGTCGTAGTCGCAGCGCACGAACTCCCCTCGTTAGCGACACCCGCGCGATCGCGCTTCGGTTCGAGGGTGTTGTGCTTGCTGTTGCCCGGGGTCTTATTCGGCGGCGGGTATATCGGGTGGCACTTGGTGACCGGCACGAAATCCGGTGGGCAATCGACGGCCACCTCGCGGTAGGGCTTTCTACCCACCACGAGGAAGCTGCGGTCCGCGTTAAGCTCGAGATCGCCAGAGGCCTCGCTCCTCAGTGTGGAATAGCCGCTGGAGATCTGCTGGTGCCGCTTCTTCTTTGGCCGTTGCCGGGACGAGGAGGACGAGGAGGAGAGGTTGCTCAATTCGATGCCGAGGAGATCGTCGGTCGAGCCGGCCCGAATCAATTCCTCGATATCGAGGCTGCGGGTTTTCGCCTTCAATTTAGCTCGCTCGTCGTTCGGACGACGGGCTTTCGTCGGGCTCTTGCCGGACTTGCTCGCTGGCTCGGTCTGGGGAGGTTCCATCTGCTGGTCCTTGACGCGAACGGGCGAGACTTTGTCTTGATCCTGCGGAGCCCTTGGGATCGGAGATTGTTCGTCTATCAGTCTGGTCAAGTCCGACATCTCGTCGGATCGCAGCAGCCCCTGAAGGTCCTGCAAGTCCGTCAGTCCGTAAGCCGGATTGTCGAAGGAAGTCGTGTCCCGGGTACGGCCGAAGAGCGGGGCTACCTTGATGTCGGGCACCACCGACCTACACGGAGAGCCGAGGTCTATCCTTCGGACGTCGTAAGTCGGGGAGTCTTTGTGGCTCTTGCTATGCCTGAGCATCAGACTGGTATCGAGGGGCGCGGTGCTGTCCGATCTACCCGACGAGCTCCTCGGGCTCGCGGAATCGTCGCTGCATGTCTTCAGCATGGTTGGGTAATCCTCCTTGGCGAAAGGATAGTCGTCCTCGATATCGACGCTGGACTCCTTCTGTCCGCCCGCGTCCTCGTCAACGTTCGCGTACACCTCGAAAGCTTTGAAGGTGCTCTTCAAGTCCGGCGAGCCGGCCGGGCTGTCGCGATACTTGTCGAGCCCCAGGTTCTTCCTGGTGACTTTCACTTTCTCCTCCTCGTCCTCGATATTCAGCTCGATCTTCAGCATCGACGGCCGTTGACGGCCTTTAAAACCGTTGTGAACGTTAATCGTCCTGGCCGTCGCGTCGACGACGTCGTCCGCGCGATCGTTCGATACGAGTCTAGCGCGTCCGTCCGCGATGGTGCGCGTCTTAAGGGTCTCGTTTTTAAGGTTTAGGGAGAGGTCGAGGTCGCTAGCGCTACGGGGACGATGCTGTAGCCCGTTCCTATAATCGGAAGAGCAGTTCTTTACCTTGTTGGGGTAGGCCTTTTGTAGAAGGGTGTCGGGCACATCAACAGGTAGCTCCCGATGATGGCCCAGGGTGCCAGGGGCCCACATCTCATCGGGCCCCAGTCCCTCCTGCGGCTTCTTCGCGTCGCGCGAGCTACTGTTGTTGTTCTCTTGCAACTGCAATTGCTGCTGCTGTTGCTGAGAGTGTATGTCCGTCACGCCACTACCGCTACGCCTTCGGGACCTAAAACAAGAGAGTAAATCCTGTATTAATGTCACTGTTAACGGATCATTATCGTATAATGTTCTTCAATTCCCGAGTGCTTTTCAGATTTCTCAATAATATACATATCTATAATTTGTGTAAAACTGTGAAATTGCAAAAGTATATCTAATAATAGCTAAATAATTAGTAATGTTTAATAAAAAAAACATGTTTAATGTTATATCAAATAAATATATAAATTTTATATATTTTTAAATCATATATTTACATAAGTATTGCTAAAGTGTGTCAGATAATTGAAACTTTCTGACAGGCAGAAACTTAATGTTCGATCTTTAATGAGATAAACGTTCGATAGAATAATAAACAGACGAGAAACTATAACCCTATTTTTATCGGACGAAGGAAACTAAGTGAAGGATAACTAGTTACTGGTATGTTTCTTACACGCAACCTGGGCGAGGTAAATTGCCGGCTGTTACAAACATAAAATAGTACATCGGGATACTGTTATGTATTTGCGGGTAATTAGATATTTTTAAGGCGTAAACAAACTCAATGTTGACGTGAGGTACCTTTGATACAACGTATCATTAAGGGAGGTCATGCCTATGATAAAAAAAAAACGTACACAAGAAACGATAAAGTAACCCCATTATGATAACCATTATGTTATCTTTTTTAAGTTTCTTTACTATAATAAATACGTAATAGTGAAATATCAAGCAAAGTAATACAATAAAGTGTCATAATAATAACACTTTATTCCTTCTCGATAAAATAAATAGATAACAATCAAATTACATGATTATGTCAACATTTTTTTTTCTCAAAAAGCCATTGAGATAAACTAACGAAAAATTATTTAAAAAAATGTGCAATCTATTTTTCGCTGAGAGGAAAGTATGATTTATCTCAGCGATGCCTCTTCTTCCCCTCTCTCTCTCTCTTTCTTTCTCTCTTATTTCTTTCCTTTCTCTGGGAAAATATTCCTTCCTTCCATATTTTTAGATTTCGTAGAACGTGACGGGGCTCACGTGGAAATAAATTCCGCCGCTATATATCACCTGGCTCTCGATAGTGCATGTTACATGATGTCTCAAACGAATGTAGAATCTCCTGGTCGTTCGGTCGTGCGAAAAGTCTCTGGGACATGCACACGGCAACGGACCGGAAAGAAAACTTTCGATACGATAAATCCAAAATATATATGTATTACGGCTTGTCAGTCGCCGTTTTATCATGTTCGGAAGAGAGTTCGCGGTAGTTATTTTTCGTTATAAAGTTGTTCTGACTAAAGTAGCTTAAGAGAGCCGCATAAAAGTCCTCGATAAATCTCGCGATCGCGGACTATTAAATCGCAATTTCTGTCGTATTGATTATATTAACAATAAAAATGTTTATGCAAATTAAAAAAATTCTGCGCTACAATAAACACGTAAATGAATTATTTACGGGATTCGGAAGTTCATATATTTGTGAATGCAAATTCCAATTAATACTACAAAGTAGCTAACGTTACAAGATATGGTTGATATAAATATAATAAAATGCATCTAAATTGTTTACCAAAGCTGTTTGTACCGTATATCAGTTGATTAAAATTTCTTTACTGATTAAAGGCTCGTTTGATGTATCAAATTTAAATATCTAGAAATCAGCAATTTAATTAACTCTCCTTGATGTAGCGACTCGCAATTTTTATTTATGTAAACTAAATAAAATGTCAGTGAGTATTTTTCCCAATAAGTAAATGAATTGAAAATATATGCGCGTGCATACAGACCTAAAAATATATCTGCAATGGGAAAAACAGATATATCTGGTCGCATATCATTTTTTTAAATAAATATTCACACCGTAATTTTGTATATATTGATTTACAACAATATTTGATGTTGAATATTAAAATATTGCTAACAGGGATGACGGTCCATTGGAAGCTCTCTGTCAAATCCAAAATTCATCGAAAAATACAAATTTTTTTATTTATTACTGACTTGATGTATACACTATTATAACGTCCAGTGCAATAATTTCCACTTACGTGCGTGCGTTTCTGTTTTGCATTATAGTGCAAGATATCGGAAATTAGATTTATACGACAAAGACCGTCCGTGTACATAGGACCAAATAGGCCTTTTCGCAGATCTGATTACATTGTCGGGCGTAGAGCATTCAACACAAGAACGCCATTACACTCGTTTGGTCCTTACGCAAATACGCACGGAGGGTTCATAGAGCGGACGATAAAGAAGGAGACAATGGAAATCGCGAACAAAAGCGATAGGAAATACGGTGTACCACGATTCAATATACGCTTGAGTATAAATGAGACGCCCTTGCGTTTTCGGTGGCATCTTATACAACGCGGTTAATGAGATCTTCAGAATTCTCGTATCTCTATGGGTAGAAAATGCGAGCCTATTTCGTAAATAGCTTCACGTTTTTCCACTTGATGCAGTATATAAGAAAAATTGTAAGCATCGCGGGCAATTAATTTGCTAATTTCGAATCATATTTTTCGTTACATAATGATGAAAGATATAAAGTGATTATACAGATTTTACGTCTATATAAAAATTGCACTCTGCCGTCGCGTATTTCTCTAAATAGTCCCTTCACAGCACGCTTGAAAGTTTGCACAGAAACAGATTTTAATCTCGATCACTGAATTTTAAAGAAGCTATCTCTTCTCTTCCGCCCTTCTCGTTTCATAACGCAATTACAGCGGGGAATTAAATAAGGCGGAGAGCGAGACCTAATTTCTGCGACGCGACCGAGCGGATTTCGCCCAGGAAATGCCACATTTTTTCACCCCCTCCACGTCCTCGAAGAAACGCCGTGGATCGCTACTTTCCAATAGTTAGCCGATTGTTAATGCGCGAGCGTGGGTTCGCGCCGCGTGCATCTGTTCCACGTGGAGGCCGTAAACGGAAAACGTGAGCAGGTCAGCGTGATCTCGCCATCTGCGCTAGACTGCATCTAAGCCGATCGGAAACCTGTCCGGGGCTTTCAGAAGAGGGATCGCCTCTCCTTAAAGGGCAGGCCCGGTATGAGAATGCGTTTCCAAGAAAACGGACACTGCGAGGTCAGGCCAATTTTCGAACCTTTCGAGGCTACGAAGAAAACTTTCCGAAAGTTGTCTGAGTAGTGTCCTTTAATTCGGGCTGAGGGCATTCCTGCGCTCCCAGGAAGGATCGATAATCCCAGACGGGAAAGTGACATTTCTTTTTCCTTTGCTCGCGATAACAACAATCGGCACAAGGACGTGACAATGGATCGCCGTCGGCGCGATTTTCGCACGCGAGAAAACGCGTCCCGTGCTACGCACAAGGCGAATATCAAGGACGAGAACGATCAAAAGCGATGAAAATGTTGTACTGCATTTATAGCAATTTGAGATGATCGGCCATAAGGTAAATCGATGATAACGATAATAATCTAACTTGGCAGCGCGGCCTTTCATCCGTGAGTTAACTAAAAGCTAAATTGACTCGCAAAAGCTATATTGCCGCATTATACCGATAATATCTATATGATGCAATCGCGAAAATAATAATATAGCCTGTAATTAAATCTTTATAAAATGTGACGTACTTTTTCGACGTTCAGCCGAGCTTCCGCGAAACGCGAGAGTTCCCTCTCTCCACCGAGAATATTTAATTAAAAAGTTCTTTTTCTCCAAGTTTCACTGAATTCGCGAATCTATATTTAACTATTTACGGTGTTCCATATGAAGAAGATGTTCTTCACGGCAGATCTTTCGGTCGCGAAAGAACTTTTCTCTTCGCACTTCATCCGTCCATGTAAAATAATGTAGAAATCTAAACCGGGGAACACGCCGCTTCTCACGAAGCAAGTCTCGTCGCATTTGCGACGGGTGCCGCTAATTTACAGTAATCGCGACCGAAAAATTCGCGGCGCGCAAGATGTATACTGCCACGAGTGAAAGTATCGCGTGTCCTGACGAAACGAAAGACTCGCGAGGGAGGAATGCAAGTCTAATGACGAAGCCGCGGCGGCGTCCCTATACAAACTCGTGACTCCTGCGCGAAAGGTCACTCTTGCTTTCTCAATTAATTTCTCCATTCATGTCTGCATTTTTATCGCGCCATCGTTCTCTCACCGATCCGCGCGCGCGGCCGCTCGACTTTTCAGCGTCGCGTCGCGTCGCCGTCGCGTCGCATCGTCGGCAACGTCATTAACGTTACGCGGCGAGATCATTCAAGTTCGCGCGCGAATGCACGATCGAATGATCGTTACCGAGTCGCAAGTAATAATGAGGCGCGCGAGGGAGAATAGCGTCATCGATTATATGCATATGGGGATTCGGCAGCATTTTGCTCACGCGCGTACGCAATGAAAGGCAATCGATAATAGCAAGGAATTCGTCACTCTTTCCGAGTTGCCTCGACGATGCGGAAAGCGCGGGACGGAGAAGCCGATAATTAAACGTCGCGACCCTTAAGGTCGCGAAAAGCCAGAAAATATTGATTTCCACGCCCAATAGAGATCCAATTTATTTTTGTAGCAACGCTTATCGATAATTACGGCCGCTCGTCGAGCGGTGGCGGCGGCGGCGGCGACGGCGGTGCGGAAATCAAGTTGCAGCTAAATTACGGGCGCGCGTAACTATCCGTGTTTAACGAAAAGAGATCGGGGCGTGCTCAAGGCCCGAACAATTATTCGCGTAATCGCGTGCGAAATCCGCGGCCGATTATGTAATGCGAGTTACACTCCGGGATGAATACGTTACGACTCCTCGCGTGACTTAAATTCCTACGAGGTATTTTGCATTTTCACACAAAAGTTTTGCTACGAGTTACGAGACGACGGAAGAGTTTTGACGCAGGAAAAACATCACGTCCCTCTTGCCTCAACGAAGGCACCATCGAGATATGCGTTCGTATAAATAAGAAAAGAAGAAAAGGAATAATGCTTTTCGTTCGCTCTATAAGCTCTACGCTTGCGCGCGGTGATATTTGCGGAAAAAAGTGCAAATGTAAATGGGAGAA